TTTTTTTCAGTGCATCTGTTGGTTGTTACTGACTGCAGTTGTTGCTGTCCCGGGTTGCCTTTGCCTGACTTTTAGCACTGCTGCACCGCCGACGACTGGGCGAAATCGTTTAGTGTCGTACCTAACTAAGAAAACGTATTTTCAATATCGAAATTATTATTATTAGCTGACAGCAAATCGCAGTTTTCAACTGACTTTCTGCAGTTGTTGCTGTTGTTGCCGGCTCATGTAATAAATGGACAGGACCCCAAGTATTGTCTGTGTATACACTTTGTATGATATGCGAGAGTGCTAGACCAAAAACAAAAGGGTTCACTGCCTCAAAAAAGGGTCAATTTGTAAATTGATGCTTGCTAGAGAATTTTATGACAATGAGCAAGATATTTAGAGGTAAATATAAAATATTTAGCTCTACAAAACTTAATAGTTAAAGTAAGTTATGATAGGTTTTGTTTACTACTTGATTTTGTATTTATATTTCAAAGTTAAATATTTAAGATTTGATAGTTTATACTCTAACCAGAAATATTCACATATTTTTAAAAATATTTAATATTTATTGAAGCTAAAAAGGACTAAATTAAATTATGTTTAAATCAATTTTAAGATTGTAAATGCGGCTACTCTAAAAATTACGTTTAAAATACAATTTTTAATTTCTTAGAAAATTTAATTATACCTTTTTTATTCTTAAAAGAGTATTCACCATTTCACCAAGCAAAGCAATCCCCAAGTGAGGCACTGGCTGCCATCAATTTCTCGCTCGTCCCCCGCTCGCCACGAGCTTTTGAAACTTTGGGGCCGGCTTCTAAAGGTGAGAAACTGGCCATATAGCTGGCGGGTGTAAGGCTGCACCCTCTAATACACACACACACACAGCGACGATATGGCAATGCCCCGATGCTGAGACCACAGAGCCAGGCCGGCACAATTATGTGCCATTTTACAGCAAAAAAAAAAATTTCAATAAAAATAATCATTTCCAAATGAAATTTATGCACAACTAAGCAGGTGTTTAGTGGGGAGTCAAGCGGATGGGGCAACAGGCATTTTTTCGGCCAAAAGGTGAAAAGCAGCCACAACCGAAAAGCGCCGGAGACCCAAAGGCTTCGACATCGACTTCGATCCGACTCCCCCGCGGAGCTGCATGGTGAAAATTCGATACAGTTGTCGATTCATCAAACAAGATAATTCGTTTGGGGCCGCCGCATAACAAGGTGAGCTGTGATAAGCAACACGTTGCCATTGTCGGTATCAAATTACGGATCTTCCAATTAACTGGCCAATAATGCGGCGTGGACCCTTTAATTCCCCCCAATATCGGGCCAATACTGCCGACTCACGCACCTGGGCAACATGTTGCCACTAGCCATGTTGCAAGCAAACACAATAGATACATTTTGTAAGCAACAACGGGGGGCTAATCAACTTCAAACGAGAACAATTGCGCCGAGTTTGTTTCTTTGACAGGATCGATGGGAATTGCAAGTGCCTGGGAGGGGGAAATAAACAAATAATATATATTTGAGTGATTGCTGAGAGTCTATATATCTATGATCTATAGGATGAGTCAGTTTTGGGGGGATTTTTTAAATAAATAAAAACAAATTCACAAGGTTTGTAAAGCAGGTTGTTTTATATTTATCTTATATATATTTTATATGATATTATTAAAGCTAATCAAACTAGAAAAAGAACAATTATCGACCGCTGAATCAGTAAACCCCCCAAGTACTTGGCAATAGGAAAGAAACTAAGCTCAACGATTACCAAGAACCCCTTTTCGATCAATGCAAAATGATTGAATCCAATATGAGGCTGGCACTTAACATCCATCAAAACACTAAACGAGGAGTATTTAGAACGGCGGCAGTGGCAGTGGTAGCGGCAACAAGTTGCCGGCAGCATCTAGTTGCCGGTTGACATATGAGCAGGCAGCGGCAGCGGCTGAAAAAGAAGAAAGGAACTTTTGCCGCCACACCAAGTCCCCGAGTTCGAGGAGCGGCTACTACACAGAAATCCGGGGACCTAACAAGCAGCAGCCCAGAATTATGTAACAACTGTGCTTGGGGGCACTCTTCCTTGGGCCGCAAATTTGCAAGTCAAGTCACTGGAGATGTCACTCTGCGCGCGGATCGGATGGACAACTCGGCGGACAGGACAGCAGCTGAGCAAAGCGGCCGCCGCCTAGGCTGCCGTTCCTGTGGGCTGTTGAACTTAATCCCACAGCATGATGGTGCAACATTCGACGAGGCGACGACGAGTGTCCGTTGTCCTGGCAAGGTTGTTATGGACGCGACGCACACACCGCTTGTTTGTTTGCCTTGGCAAACACATACAGGTGAATCAAGTGTAGAAAAAAAAAAACCGCTAGTCCATTCACACTTATCCATCGAAACAACCACCGAAGAAGAGATGATCTCTCGCCGCGACAAATTACTGCAGCAGCCGTGGGAGCAGCTGCGATATGCTCAGCACCGCGAGAAGGTCATGTCCGCCCGCCCAGCCATCGACACCCATACGCCGCGTGCCCACGAGCACGTTCAGCGCAAGTGGAAGAAACAGCAGGTCGAGCGGGAGCGCCAGCAGCAAATCGAGCGAGAGAACCTAAGGCTGCTGCAGAAGCTGGGCGACATCATGCGCACCAAGCGCATCAACAACCTCTGGCTGGAGCCGAGGCCCAAGTGAGTAGGATCCTTCACTTATCGTGCCATAAATATATATCCCTTTCTTTCTTATAGTTTTCTCAATCGCGAGAAACTCTTTCCCACCCGCCCGTACTCCAGCCTCCCTGAAATTGTTACCATCTACGGCAAGCAGCCGCCGGGGCCCCTCATCTACGGCATGCTGCCCAAACCTAATGTCGTTGGTCGTTGCCCTACATGCAGTGGCAATCCGGAACGCACCGAAGTGGCCATACCCGAGCAGCGTACACCTTGGGCGCCGGAAAGAAAGTCCTGGAACCGCAAGACCCAGGAGGTGGCCAAGCAGCAACGCTGCTACCACTGTGGCTCTGTAAAGACCAGCGAGCGCAAGTTTTTCGAGGAGTTCTCCTACTCCTACTCATACGACGAATGATGATGGAAATCGGGTACGAGTAATAAAAATAAATGCAACTTTATTCACCATCAGACCTTGGGTATATTCGGTGGCAACGTGGCGAAGGTAAGGAACCCCGTGTGACCGGGCAGCACTTGGGGATTGCTAGAGGTCAGGTACTTCTTCACCTCTTTGGGCGCTTTGCTCTCCTCGGCATTTGCTGCTGTAGTCGTCGTTGTCTCTTCCGATTTGGGAAGCTTGAGGAACTCCAGATCGATGACGGGCAGAGTGCGGGTCTTGACCACGCTCTCCTGCTGCAGCACCTCCATGGAGACGATCTCGTTGAAGCCCAGCTTCGTCAGCTCCTGAATGCAGCGCTGCGACTGCTCGATGCAGGGCGAGAACGAACAGAAACGACCGCCTGTGGGTGCGGAGAGGAAGAGAAATTCAGGTTTACAAGAGTTTGGCGGATTGAGATTTAAGAATATCATGCTCTCAATATATTCAAGTGTTTTTATAGCCCACTCATGGGGCAGATGGTTCCGTTTAAAAGCTAAAATTTTTTTGATATGTATTTTGTTTATATTTAAATTATAATATTCAATGGGTTCCCCTAAATCCTGTTTAATTTGCCTGCCGTTTCATTGTACCTTAGGTCCGGTACAAACCTGTTGGACAATTTAAGTTCCCATCCGCCTAATGACAAACTCGCCCGGTCAGCCTGCCTTTGGCCACATCAAGTGTCAAAAGCGGGCTCATTCAATGTCAAACTGGGTGAAATGGCAGCTCGACTGACTAGCTGACTGGATCTTTGGCTAGCTGGATGGATCACTGACTGAGTGACCGACAGCGATGGTATTGTTAGGTACTTATTGTTAGGTACTTCTTAAGAATCATATTTAACCAGAGATAAAATAAAGTAAAGCCCAAAGTAGGTACCACAAAACTTGTACCTAAGCTCAATGGTACCTTTAAATGGGATTCTTCGTACATTTCTTGTACCCAACTCTAATATAACCAAAAGTACCCTTCCCAACACTGATGACCGACGAGCTAGGCTCGCATGCCCGATTGTCCCGGCGAAAGGGCGCTGACAACTTGTTGTCAACGCGATGTTGGCTACTCACCCGACAGCTTTAACGCCTTGAAGGCATGCGGCACCGCCAAATCCGGTGCGGGCAGATCCAAGAACACCGCATCAGCCTGGCCGTCCAGTTCCTCGGTGAAGCCCAGATTGCACACATCCCGGTGATAGACGGTGACGAAGTCGGCAAGCCCATGTCGCCGGAACTCATCGCGTGCCTGATCCGCTCGAGACTCGTGGAAATCGAAGGTGTGCAGGTGGCCAGTGGGCTTGAGGGCGCGCAGGAAGTAGTGGGACAGGGAGCCCGAACCCGTGCCCGATTCAATGACCACCGCACCTGGACGCACCTCCAGTTGGTGCAGGATCATACTGATGTCCGGCGTGTAGATAATCTGCGTGCGATGCGGCAGCGTTTGGGTCCACAGTTCCGGCGTAGGCTGCAGGACATGGGCCCAGCCCTTAGAGAGCTCCACGCGGCTGCCGTACTCCACGCCAATGATATCTGTAATGGAGGTGAGTGTCAGAAAGGGCTAAAAACTTGATAACTTTAACTAACTTTCCACTTTCAGGGAGCCATAGTTGGTCTGGAAGATGTGCGGTATGGTCTCGCCCTTCTTGTTGACTATCTCCGGCACCGCCTCTATGGCGTGCATGGAGCTAACGCTCAGATACAGTATCACCACATCCCCCTTCTCGATGTGAGTCTTGGGTTTCAGAAAACTCATTATTTTTACGAAAAACTGCGAAAAAGTCGTTTATTTACAAAATAAGCGCGTGTTGGGGAATAGAGATGGCAGTTATAAGTAGAGATGGGAGATATAACAGCCGATAGCGCACTTTTAAAACAGTTTATAAAAGTTTCTTAAACGTTTCAGTGTGCCCAGCTTAAGTTTGTGCAGAAATCCTTTCCTTATTTAAAGAATGAAATAAGCAAAACATTTAAAGTTTAATAATGCCACAAATAACAAATAAACCAAATGAATCGTAAGTTTATCAACATTTTAGACAAATGACATCTACCTAATCTGTCCTTCACCTAACAGCACAATAAGAGTGCCATTCGAGACGCCGCGGCTCGCTGAAATCGCCTACAGAGTGCTGAGTGTTGACCAGGAGCCACGCCGGAATTTCGTCAAGAAGACCCTCAGCCTGGATGGCGACGTCCTGGTGGTCACATTCCAAGCTGACCAAGTGAAGAACCTGCGAACAGCAATCACCTCCTTCTTCGAGAGCCTGCTCCTCTGCCAGGACACCATCAAGCAGTTCGGCGAGTCCAAAGGAGACACAGCAGTCCGGGGGAACAACGACGACAATGCCGGAACACAGTCCGGCTCCGACTCCGCATAGGGCGATCTACGGCTTCGCCTTCTACATGCTATTTACGGTCCTGTTCATCATCTACGTGGCCTGGGCTCTGTTGCCCTTCGAGTTCGGTCTGCATTCCTATCTGCCGGATAAATATTTCGCCGTTTTTATTCCCTTTCTGGTGCTGGTGTTTGCCTGGTTCTTCGCTTTCCTTATATATCCGGCCATCAACCTCTCCATGACAGTGAATGTGGACGACATTGCTTCTGTGGTAGATCCCAAACTGGCTCTTCCCAAGGGAACCAAGTTCACATCCTGGTCACAGTTGCAAAAAAAGAACAAGACTCCGAAGTCAAAGCAGGAGATCCCTTCTCCCGTGAACTGTAATATCTGCCGGACGCAGCACCAGCCAGTAACGCGTGCCCCCATCGCACCACTGCGCTTCTTGGACCTCCAGGAAGTAAATACAGCGTATTACAACTAAAAAAAACTAACAGCTGTTTAATTTATAAACAAATTCATTTTCTCCGCACGGTGGTCCAACCATCCTCGGGTTCCACGAATTCCTCAGCCTTTTGTTTGCGGGCCTGCGAACGGGTCATTCGTCCGCTGCTAGAAGGCGCCTCCTCCTCCATATCATCATCTTCGTCCTCGTCATCATCCTCCATGTCATCATCATCGTCGTCGGAGGAGGAGTCGCCTTCCACAGGGGTGTATGTGATCTTCACATCCGGACGCAGCCACTCCTTGCCGGCTGGAAGTTTACTCAGCTCGGCCTCGATCTGTGGATACTGATTCTGCTGGGCCAGCTGCTTGTAGCGGAGTAGATTCCTGCAAATCTCTGGAATGGAGTTGTCGTCACAGAGCGTGTTGAACTCCTGGTCCATCAGCTCCTCCAGAACCTCCTGCAGCTCGCCCTGGGTGATGTTTTCATTGGCCACGCAGTACTGATAGGTGTAGTCCATGATTTCTATGGCCACCTGCCAAGCGGTTCGTACAAGGTAAATTTACCCTTTTTGAGTGGGAGGAAAGACTCACCTGCTGGCCATTGCGCCCGCCCATGCCATGCTCCACGGCCAGCCGGAGATTCTGCCAGTGGTTGAAGATCTTTTCAACAATCAGGCGAAAATTCTTTTGGAACTCGGTTTGTTGTGCGGCCGCCATCGCATGTGCTGTTCCAGTGCTGTATAGGGAGTGTAAAGAACATTCAAGTACTGAAACCAGTGTTCGAAAATGTCATAAAGTCATTGCGCCAAAAACTGCAGCAAAATAAAGAAGTAAACAAAAGTCCCTAAAACCATGTCCGATATAGAAGAGGTGCCGGAAACCCAGATGGAAAATGCGGAGAGTGACGGGGCTGCGTTTGAGGAGGAGGATGATGACGACCTGGAACAAATAACAGCGCAAAAGGTGAGCCCCCAATCCAGCAAAAAAAGAAGGTAGTAACCTGTTGCATTCCCTGCATCCCAAAGGTCCTGGAGATCCTGGAGACCGCCTGGATCAACGAGATGTGCGCCCCCGAAATCCTCCCCAGCCAGGCGGACATGCTGGAGCTGATGGTCTCCCAGGTCGCCCATATGGAGGAGCAGATGCGCGACCTGGACAAGAACGATTTCCGGGCCGTGGTGCATGGCATGGAGCTGGAACGCGTCCGCTACATTATGGCCAGCTATCTGCGGTGTCGCCTCCAGAAGATAGAGACCTACACTCAGCACATACTCAACCAGGAGGAGGCTCGCGAACCGGACGACAAGCGACTGTCGCCGGAGGAGACCAAGTTCGCCCAGGAATTCGCCAGTAATGTGGACGAGTACTTTCACAAAGTGGCCACCCAGTATATGCCCAACCAGCAGAGAGGAGAGGCGGAGCAGCGTATTGTCACCCCCAACCTGATGAGCCATGTCTTCCTCAAGGCCAATGTGGCGGGTGAGTACAGTTTAATGGTTTTATAATCTGCTTTATTAATCCTTTAATCTTGATTTAGTGCCCGCTGTGATCGTGGGTGTCGATGACGAGGAGGTGGACATGGCGGCGGGCTCCCAGCACATTATACCCTACCAACTAGTGGCTGACTTGATACATAACAATCAGGCGCAGTTAATTTAATATTATGTTAATAAATAATGATAATGAAGTATACAAAAAATATTAATGGTTTATTAATCATGTTAAAATTGAATTTTTTATAAATAGATCTTTGAAATGCCATTCAAATCCGTTGCCTGCAGATTCATTTTTCTCGAACCTTAACCCTTATGCGAGATGATTTTATTTCTATTTTAATATTAATATATTTTAGGATTAAAATTTAGAACAAAAGACGCGCAGCACAAAATTGTTAATAATTAAATATTTAAAAAATTTCAACTCGTTTAATTATAAATAGGAACTTAAAACCCCTTACATCATCTAAGGGTTAGTCAACAAATTCTATTGCCGTTCCTCTCGCACTTACTAAGTATCTTGGCAGCGACCAGTGTTGGTCAATTCCCGCTGGAAGAACAGCTGCGCTTGTGCCACACCACCTCATTTTCCAGCTATACACACAAACCACGGAATCAATTAGCCCAGTCGTCAATGTGGCGGGCTTTAGCACAAGCGGCCAGAGGAGTTACAGTGTCCATCGATTGCGGGCCTAGAGGATTCACGCTGACGCAGCAGCTATTGCGACATTCCAAGGGCAGCAGGCACATAACCACCTCCACCTCCAGCCGTAACCATCAACCACCTAGCAAATACGGAAACATGAGCGTTGAGAAGCCAAAGGTTGTGTTCGTTTTGGGTGGACCGGGAGCCGGAAAGGGCACGCAATGCTCCAAGATCGTGGACCGCTTCCAGTTCACCCATTTGTCCGCTGGCGACCTGCTGCGAGAGGAGCGTTCGCGCGAGGGCTCCGAATTCGGCATGCTGATCGAGGACTATATCCGCAATGGCAAAATCGTTCCCGTCGAGGTCACGTGTTCGCTGCTGGAAAACGCCATGAAGGCGTCGGGCAAGTCGCGTTTCCTCATTGATGGTTTCCCCAGGAATCAGGATAATCTGGACGGCTGGAACCGCCAGATGTCCGAGAAGGTGGATATGCAGTTTGTCCTGTTTTTCGACTGCGGCGAGGATGTGTGCGTCCAGCGATGCTTGGGCCGAGGACAGAGCGGCTCTGGTCGGTCCGATGACAACATGGAGAGCCTAAAAAAGCGCATCCAGACGTACAACAACGACTCTCTGCCGATCATCAAATTCTTTGAAGCCGCCGGCCAGGTGAAGCGAATCGATGCCAGTCCAGATGCAGACAATGTTTTTGGTGAGGTGGAGCGTGTGTTCCTGGCCAGCGGTTTCTAATCTAGGCTATGTCAATTACTTCCGGTCATTTGGCTTACTTCCGGTTCTGTGTGTAGTGTTATCTCTTAAATTTTCATTTGTACCCCTCCAAATATATATATACGCTTGTTACTAGTAAAAGGAGAAGTTTATGTTTTTTTATCGGATGTTTGTGTATATACAGGAGAAGTATACACAAATACGGTGAAAGGTATAGTTTTTTGAGCAGGTATCTAAGTAATACAAAAAGGGTCCTAAGTTGATTCCTAAAAACTATAATTTCAAAATGTTTCAACAAATTTTAAAGCAAAACTATGTCAGCTTCTGTTTTTATACCCTTGCAGGGTATTATAATTTCAGTCAGAAGTTTGCAACGCGGTGAAGGAGACGTTTTCGACCCTATAAAGTATATATATTCTTGATCAGCATCAACAGCCGAGTCGATCTAGCCATGTCCGTCTGTCCGTCTGTCCGTCCGTCTGTCCGTCTGTCCGTATGTCCGTCCGTCTGTCCGTTTCTACGCAAACTAGTCCCTCAGTTTTAAAGCTATCTCAATGAAACTTTGCATATAGTCTTTTATATGCTCTCACTGCTATATATGTCGGAACTGGCCGGATCGGACGACTATATCATATAGCTGCCATACAAATGTTCGATATATTTTTAGAAAAAAAATTATAACTTTGCTGTTTTTCAACATTTTTACACCATTTTTTAGATATGACCATTTTATATTATTTTAGAATTTTGGTAAAAATTTTATGAAAATCGGACGACTATATCATATAGCTGCCATAGGAACGATCGGGAAATTAATAGAAAAAAATTATAGATTCGTTGTTTTTCAACGTATAAGCTTATTTTATTATTCTAGAATTTTGGTATAAATTTCAAAAAAATCGGACATCTATATCATATAGCTGCCATATAAACCGATCCGTAGATGTATACAAAATGTAAAGCTGGGAATGCAAAACTGTAACTGTCAAACTGTAAACATAATAAGTATAGGTAAAATGTAATGAAATAATATCTGCAAGGGTATACAAACTTCGGCGTGCCGAAGTTAGCTTCCTTTCTTGTTTCTACATGTAATTGTGGTTTACAATTTGGAATAATACAAATTAACATAAATAAAATACATTTTAAAACACCATTAAACACAACCATTAGTTTTGATGTAGCAAACACATTCCTAAAAAGAAGAAACAAGTAAGAAGATTGACCTATAACACTGACCCATCACACCTCGTTAGCGGTAATTACTCATCGATTTTTCGAACACGCATGGAAAGCAAGCATTTTCGGTTTAATATAACATTCGCTTTCGGGGAGATACAAACGGGGGGGAGGGTGGCTCTTATATAAAATGGGCAGGAGGTTTTTCTTAGAAGTAGCTTAGTCCCTGCGAAGGTTGTCCAGGCGCGCCTGCAGATCCGCATCTGCATCGGACATGGGCGAGGAGGCGCCACTGCCGCCTGCAGCCCCGGCACCGGCTCCACCGCCACCTCCAGACCCACCGCCGCCGCCGCCTCCGCCTGATCCTCCACCACCTATTCCGCCAGCTGCCACAGCAGTCTGGGCCTTCTGAGCACCGGCACCGCCGGCTATGGATAGTGATCCGGAAGCGGAAGGAAGATCGCCCAGCTGTTCTCCCAGCTGCAAGCCTAGTTCATCTAGCACCTGGGAAACCACAGCATCCGTTTCCTCCTCATCGCCCTCATCCTCCATGGCGTCATCGATGGCATCGTTTATCATCTCCTCCTTCATGTCCATCATTTCAGACTGCTTCTCAAAGTCCTGCAGGATCTTCTGGATTTGCGGGAGATTCAGCTGGCGGTTCATGTTCTGCATGGCCTTGGTCACGCCTAAAAAAAAAGGGGATTCAGTATGAAAAGTTAAATAATCAGGTGATCCACCCACCCTTCATAGCCTGTGCCATTGTGTTCTGCGACTTGAGCGTCTGGATTTTGAGGGACACCGCCTGGATGTTGGCCTTCATCAGCATGAACTTCTTGGCGTAGCGGCGCGTTCGCACCAAATCCTTCGCCATGATCTTCACGGCGTCCATCTGCCCCTCCTTGGCCATTTTCTTGATGTCGGCAATGATCTTTTTCTCCTGCTGCTCCATTTTCATCCGCTCGCGGTCCAGATCTCGCATCGCCTTGTTCAGCGCCCGCTGGTTCTTGCGCAGCATCTCATCCGGGCTGATCTTCTTGCCGAAAAGCCAGTCCATTTTTCTTCGTTTCTTTGCTGTTTGTTCTAATTACGACGATTGAGGGATAAGGAATGACGGAGTTACTCAAAGATTACTCATCAACCAAAACAATAAGTTACCAGGGTGCGTGATTGTAAGGTGGCGGAGGTGTGTCCGCGCTTACAGGCGAATGGTGGCCTTAAAAGAAGAAGCTGTGACCGGTACATTTTATTATAGCGTTCACACTGCATGTATTTTAAATTTCAATAACAACAGGTGGAAATCAAGAAACAGGTAATTTGAATAAAGATACCGTTACACCCATATCAACGGAAATTTTGATTCATTTTCATGTATTATTATTAATATATTTGTAAATACATTTTAAACTTACTTTTTTACTATTAATGGCGTTGCTTTATATCAATTTCACAATATTATTATTGTATGGATTTTATGGATTTAATAACTGACTTTGTAGACACTAGCCTTCTTATCGTTTGAACCCGTCACAATATATTTGCCATCAGTGGATATGTCGCAGCTAAGTACGGATGAGGTTTCCTTCGCCTAAAATATTTAAGAGAGAGGTTTTAATTTGCAAAGTTTTAAATGAATTTCAGCTCACCTGGAATATGCTGGCACCGTAAGGTGTTCGCCATGCGTTAAGCAGGTTGTCTTTGCCGGTGGAAACAAACCATTTGCCGCAGGCGGCAAAGCGCAGCGACAGAACGCAGCTCTCGTGCAGATGCAGTTGATACTTGTCCGGTTTCGATGCGTGCAGCACCTCAACGTGCGAGTTCTCCATACCCACAGCCAGCCAGTCGCCTGAAAAGTGAATTAAATAGCGTTAGAATAGGATTCCTTTGAGTACTTTTCATCAGAAGTTCTCTTATTACCTGTGGGACAGTAGCCGAGCGAGAATATTTGAGAGCTAAAGTCGTGCTGCTGCAGCTGGCGACCCTCGCGCAGATCCCAGGAGCGCACCGTATTGTCCAAGCCTCCCGTCCACAGCCTGGAGCCATCCGGACTGATGTCAATGCACGAGGCGCCGTCGGTGTGGCCCTGGAACTGACGGACCAGGATTTCGTTGTGCAGATCCCACACGGCAATGTTGCCATCGCTGCAGCATGAGAAGCACACCTTCGAGTCTGGGCTAATGGCCAGGGCGTAGCAGGCAGGCGCCGCCGAGGTCAGTTCGGCCTTGATGCGTGGCGTTGGGCTGGCCAGGTCCCAGATGGACAGGTTAGAGGCCTCGCCGCCCACAATCAACGTGCGTCCGTCGGGCAGTAGCTTCACCGAGCGGATGTAGTTGTCGCGCTGCAGGCAATCCAACTGGCTGACTGGATTCTTGTTGCCCGGCTGCGAGATATCCCACACCTTCACGCACCCCTTGCCGCCCGTGTAAATGTATTTTGTGGGATTGGAGATGGTGACCGCACAGACAACTTCTCCGTGCGACAGTGTGTTGATCTGACGGGCGTGCCTGGGGATACCAACACCGACCAACGCATCCGGCGGAAACGGCACCGGCTGTAGGCTACCCTCATCATTGGTATAAAAAGAGTACCCACTGCAGTGGGGAAAATATAGTATATTGTATTATTTTAACAGTTTTTATTTACCAAAAACACTTACGGTTTTCCATCTGTTTGTCGTTGGTTTGGACATATTCGCTTTGATGGTCGTCGTCTGTAGTACGTGGGCAGCCTATACACTCTCCCCCGATGGCCGGTTGCAGGTGCTCCCTGCGAAATTATTTGTTTAGAATTAACGCTCTGCGAGGGATCGGCCGCAAGATCCAGATCCCGCATAGCTGTATTAAGCGTTCTCTGTTTTCTACGCAGCATCTCGTCGGGACTGAAAAGTCTGTCCATTTTTCTGGATTTTTTTGAATGTTCGATCTGAATACAACAATTATAGATAAGAATTGAAATGAATTACTTGAAGATTACTTATCAATCATAACAACACACACACACACAAGAGCTGGGTGCTCCTAATCTATAGATTATGGGTCAATGGTGTGGATTGCATACTATCCAAAATGCTCTTATAAGATAGCTATATAATGTCTAAAAGAAAAATATAGGGTTACTTATGTATATAATTTATTTGCCTACAAATATTTTTACAGAAAATCTTAGACATCATGAGCAATTTCCTATTTTTAACTCGTACCGTTATCAAATATTTTGATCAAAGCAAACTAGTGAGAACATCCCATTTCTGATAACGACTTCTTTGGCCGCGTTTCCTTGGGAATGTCATTCCCTCCCAGCCATTTGCGGCCATTCAGCAGGAAACGCGGCCATGAAGGAGTTCGACGATTTTAACTTTAGCGTTGATAAATGCAAGTTTTGGCTATTAATTAAGGTGTGTTCCCTCGTTTATCATCTGATTTCGATACAGACACCAAGGAGCTGACCCGGGAATGCGTGGGCGGCAGCGATTTGCAGCAGCGGAAGAAGGAAATCGAGGCTTACAACGAAACCACGGCCGCAACGCTCAAGCAAACATGCAAGAAAAACTACATGGAGTTTATCCAGACTGCCAAGGAGATATCGCGTAGGTTACGCCCCCCAATAAACATATGTGCTTTCCAAGAGTTATATGTAAACCTCCCCCACAGATCTGGAGTCGGAAATGTACCAGTTATCCCACATTCTGATCGAGCAGCGCAACATTCTGGGCACCATGACGGATGGAAAGACCTCCAGCCACCTTAAGGCGGACAGTGTGGAGGCGGAGAGCAGTGCGGCAGCGGATGATGTGGAAAACAGTCATGCCACCAGGGCTGTAAAGGAAATGGTGCAGGGCTTCAATGGCAATCTGGAGGGGAAGACCTTCCTCAACGAGGGCGCCCTGATCGAGTTGGATGGCAACGATTACCGACCCATCCAGCGGGTGTTCTTCTTCCTGTTCAACGATGTCCTAATTGTGTGCAAAGTGAAGCATGATAAGTGGGTTTCTACATAGGAAATTCTCCCTCCAGCTTAAATATTAATTATATTTTTATTTAACTTAGACGCCTGGACTTTCTCACCGAGTACGATCCCAAGAAAATAGCCGTGATCAACATCAAGGACTTGGATGGCGTTAAAAATGCCATAAATATTATCACACCCGATGGATCCAAGATATACCAGAGCATCACGGCTGCAGGTAAAACCGAGTGGATCGAAAAACTCGAGGAAGCCTTTCGCTTTGACCAGCAAAAGAAGCCGAAGAAGGGTCAAGCTCCACAGCCGCCAACGCGCGCCAAGCAGCAGTCCAAGGCTGCTACGCCCGAGAAGGAAACCGCACCTCAGAGTCCTGGAGAGCCCAAATCCCTGGAGGATGAGACACCCGAGTGGCTGAGCACGGCTAGCGAGGAGATCCAAACCCTGGTGGCTCAGCGTCACTTCGAGGACGCCCAGGAGCTGATCAAGCGATCCCAGGAATTTATGAGAACTGAGAGCAGGAAAAAGGTGCCACAAGCGGGCATCATTGAGGGCAAGGTGAAGCAGCAGGAGCTGAAGCTGATCAATGTGCTGCTCAAGGAGCTGTCCAACAGCCACAATCGTAATCTGCAAATAGCTTTGCGGGCCGCCAAGCGGCCACTGAAGATCCTGGTGGAGATGGGACGCTATCGCCAAGCGAGCGCCACTCTGCTGAAGGTGTGCGCCGTGAGTTTGCGGGTGGCACAGCGGGAGGCGCGTAGGAATAATGCGGATATATCGGAGCTGTTCTTCTGTGATCTAACGCAGGTGGCCTGCGATTTCCTAACAGCCTTTGAGCAACAGCCGGCTTGTGTCAGTGGTGAGTTGCTGCCAACCTTTGCTAATTAAATTTAATTGATTTAAACTCATGTTTGCAGCTCTCGTGGTCTGGTGCAACGCCGAGCTACAGTATTTTGCCAGCCAGCTAATCAAACACTATCTCACCAAAGGCACTTCACTGGAGGCGGTGGCCAAGTGCGTGGAGCGAGTGCGCAAGCCCTCGACAAAGCTCACTGAGATTGGGCTGGACATAAGCTATCACCTGGAGGGTCTGCTGCGCACTACCCTCGAGTCCCTGATCGAGGAGTCCAAGGAGCGACTTTTGGATTCCGTTGGCCGGACGGAGGAGAGCTGGCAGCCGTATAACCTGCAGACCAAGTCGAATCTAAAGCGCCTTTTCCTAGAGTTGGATGTATTGGGCATTGATGTTCGGGCCCAGGCCACAGGAGATACCTGGATGAACCTCACCCAATCCACGGTGGTTTTTATTCGCCATTTCCTGCAGCTCACCGAATACTGCGGCTGTCTGGCCAAGTGCGAGACCCTATTGCAGAGTCTGGAACTGTTGCTGAAGGAGCTATTCATTGCCCAGCATTCGCTGAAGCCACCCAGCGACATGGCAGTGGATGTAAGTCGATCCTTCCTTAAAGTCTCTTAACATATTTTAAATTTTCCCCTCTTTTTAAAGCCCAACTTTGTAATGAAAAACAAGATCTTTCTGGTGGATAACCTCCTGCCCATTGCCATCGACAAGTTCCGTCAGATCTCGGGTCGCCAGTGCGAAGGATTGCGCGAACTGCACACCAAGATGTCCCGACAGCAGGGCGCTCCACTGCCACGCCAGCGCAGTGTCTATACCACAGATGTCTTTTAATGGGGATGGAGTTTGGTTAATTTTAAATAAAATTTTGTGGCGAAACGTCTAAAGTTAGCTTATTTAATTAAATATTATATAATAACCCAACATTTAAACAATTATGTGTTAATTTTTTACTGAGAAATCTTTAAATCTTTACAGGAGTTATAGGGAATCTTCGAAGTGTCTTCCAAAAACAGATGGTTTTTCGGTTTACATCCCAAAAAATCATCCGATATCAAAAAAATAGAATGCATTCGTTAAAGCATTAGTGAGCCAAAGTACTCACATGGCGTTTGAATATTTTTAATTTTTTCCTGATTTTATATTGAAATTGGAAGTCAAAATCCCTAATTTTGAGTAAAAAAATTAAGTTAATTTGTTAAAAAATATTATAAAATTGCAAATTAAAAAAAGTTTGTAGAATTGGTTAAAGAAGTCATGTACCAAATTTCAAAACAATTGGTCCAGTACATTTTGAGTTATAGAGTACAACGAATTGGTATAAGAGAGCGCTTTAAACTTTAAACGTTCAACTTTGCATAACTTTGTTAATTTTTCTCTGATTGGTGTGAAACTTTGACAAAATATTCCCAAGATATTGGACATTTCATAAAAACAAAATTACAACAAAAGTTGAAAACCATAACCCCCGCACTCTCTTACAAAAGTAGTCCCAAGCTTTACTTTCGATTACATATAATTTTTTATTTTCTCGTTTTGCTTCAATTATTTATAATATAATTATATACATATATAACCACAATAATAATATTTGTAAAATTAAAAATCGAAGCGTGTGCTGCACTCTATCTCTTGCTTATTACAATTTCGCCATTCGCATTATATATATATATTTTGTATATAAATCGATTCGTTTCCATATATATATATACTCTAAACACTAAACAATTTAGCTGTGTTCTATTTTTCTCGCTTGTCGATGCGGCTTTTGTTGTGGTTGTTGTTTTTTTAGCTGCACAAAATATAGGATTTTACAGTTGGTTCTAAAGAGTTTGATTCACACAAAGGTTGTTTCCTCTCTCATTACATCGTATTTTCAAATTACAAACAAGCTGAAGCCGACTGCTCGAGCTCTATGATCCCCCAAGAATGCGAGAATGTATGGGGGTGGGGAGTGTGTGTGTGTGTGGGTGGCTTGTTCTGTGTTTAATTTATAATGTAAAACTCTTAACTAAAATGCTTACTAAGTATATTCATTTATATTTATATATATATACCTTCTTTTATGCAAATGTGTGTGTGTTTGTGGGGGGAGAGGGGGAGGTAAGGAAACTGACAACTTAAAAATTACATTTGTTGTTGTTGCATTCGCTGTCCGACGACGACTCTCAGCTAGCTAAATTACAAAAAACGCTCACACAAAACAAACTAAAAGCACTCGCATCACCTCAAACTCCTTCGTTCGCTCAGCTGGTAATCATAATCTCAACGCTCATGCTTTTGCAATGACTATAATCCAGGCAGACCCTGCGCACTTATCCTTCTATTTGTTTTTTATGTCAAGATGAACGTAGGTAGGTATCGCCGACTGTTTTTGTTTCTTTTACAACACACTCTCGTTCATCATCAATTTTATTTTTCTTTCTTGTTCTCTCTTTTTTTTTAAGTGTTTTCTTTTCTTGCAATTTGTGTGTTCAACTTGGTTTGTTGTTGGTTTCTCTTTTTTTTTATTGGACTTAGCTTAGGCTTAGTAGCTAAAAGTACGCTTAAAATTTTAGTTTTTCCTTTTTGTATATATATATATTATAGAATTTTCATTTTTGCTTCGCTTTTTGATGCGTTGCTACTGCTGCCTTCTGTAGATGTTTATTTTTTTTGTTGTTTTATATTATTTGCATGATTTCGAACATTTTGTTTGTTGTAGTTAATTGTTTTTTTGCTTCTGTTGTTGTAATAAAAACTATACGAGCTTATTACAAAATGAAAAAACTGCTTGGTTTTGTGGATTTAATAAATAACTTCGTAGACAGTAGCCTTCTTATCGCCCGAGCCCGTCACAATGTATTTGTCGTCAGTTGATATGTCGCAGCTAAGTACGGATGATGTTTCCTTCGACTGAAACCACAAAGATAACGGATTAGGGTCTGACTTTCACTTGGAAAAAAAAAGGTTATTCAAACTCACCTGGAATATGCTGGCACCGTAGGGTGTTCGCCATGCGTTAAGCAGGTTGTCTTTGCCGGTGGAAACAAACCATTTGCCGCAGGCGGCAAAACGCAGCGACAGAACGCAGCTCTCGTGCAGATGCAGTTGATACTTGTCCGGTTTCGATGCGTGCAGCACCTCAACGTGCGAGTTCTCCATACCCACAGCCAGCCAGTCGCCTGAAAAGTGAATTAAATAGCGTTAGAATAGGATTCCTTTGAGTACTTTTCATCAGAAGTTCTCTTATTACCTGTGGGACAGTAGCCGAGCGAGAATATTTGAGAGCTAAAGTCGTGCTGCTGCAGCTGGCGACCCTCGCGCAGATCCCAGGAGCGCACCGTGTTGTCCAAGCCGCCCGTCCACAGCCTGGAGCCATCCGGACTGATGTCAATGCACGAGGCGCCGTCGGTGTGGCCCTGGAACTGGCGGACCAGGATTTCGTTGTGCAGGTCCCACACGGCAATGTTGCCATCGCTGCAGCATGAGAAGCACACCTTCGAGTCTGGGCTAATGGCCAGGGCGTAGCAGGCAGGCGCCGCCGAGGTCAGTTCGGCCTTGATGCGTGGCGTTGGGCTGGCCAGGTCCCAGATGGACAGGTTAGAGGCCTCTCCGCCCACGATCAACGTACGTCCGTCGGGCAGTAGCTTCACCGAGCGTATGTAGTTGTCGCGCTGCAGGCAATCCAACTGGCTGACTGGATTCTTGTTGCCCGGCTGCGAGATATCCCACACCTTCACGCAGCCCTTGCCGCCCGTGTAAACGTATTTTGTGGGATTGGAGATGGTTACCGCACAGACAACTTCTCCGTGCGACAGTGTGTTGATCTGACGGGCGTGCCTGGGGATACCAACACCGACCAACGCGTCCGGCGGAAACGGCACCGGCTGTAGGCTACCCTCACCGTTCATATGGAAAGAGTATGCACTGAAAAGAGTAAAATTGAACATTAAAAATTATTATTATTATAAAAGGAAAGAATTATTTTAACAGGAAAAACACTTACGGCTTTCCACCCGTCAGGGCCGAGGGATGTGGAATGCCATTGGTTCGCACATGTGAGTGTGGATCGTACGGCATTGGTGGCGGTCGTCCATAGGCTGGATCCGACGGTGGACGCTGGTAGGGATCGGCCGGTCGCTGATACGGTGCCCCCGGATAGCCGGCTGGCGGTGGTCCCTGCGGCATCATTTGTTTAGGATTAACGCCCGGCGCCGGAGCGGCAGCGTTGGGTGTCGGTGTGCGTGCCTTGGCGCCCGGTGTGCCCGGCTTCTCCATCTAAGGTAGTGAATTCAAATTTAATATCCATATTTTCATTGCTATTCAATTAAAGCTTACATCTTTTGTCTTGAGGCTGGGTGTGGAACGTGACGAACTGGAGCCGGAGCGTGAGGGCGGACGTTCCTGTTTGATGCCACTACTGCTGGGCTTCTCCAGGCGTTCGCCATTTAGGCTTTCCCGATCGCGCACCTCCATGGACACATGCTCGCCGTTGGGGCGCGGTGAGTGGGATTCCTGAAAGGCACAAACACGGAAAAATGTTGGTTTGTTAATTGAAAATTGGTAAGAAACTGGGGTAGGGTGAGGCTTTGATCTTTAAAATTTTTTTTTTTAAGGGGAATTCGGGAATGGTTGCATTGAATCTGGGCCGACACTCAACTCACCATTTCATTTGCAACATCTACGACTAAATCTTGATCGCTTTTCTCGCCTTCATCGTCCTGGAAATAATTTTGAAAAAAATACAAAAACAATATAAATCAAAATTTATACAAAAACCCACAAAGAACAACAGTAAGCAATAACAATAGCAACAACAACCATAACAATCACAACAACAATTATAACTTATTCAGGCCTGCCTAAGGTTGGACTTATTTTCGTTAAATCTCTAACTATATATTTTATAATTTCTGGAATTTGTAATGAAATAAGAATTTCAAAATATAAGTAATATTATTTGTGAAATTACATGTATTTTATATAATTATTATTATTAATTATTTGCAGTAAAATATAGCAAAATTTATGTTTAATTAATTATTAGTGTCTTTTGGGGAATTAATTTAATTCCTTAAAAATTTAAAAGCTTAATTCTTTTGATCTTAAGTGACTTTATAAGAAATACTAGAACAACCATGGTCTCAACGTATTTATTTCTCTTGAAAACCCGGAAAGAAAGGTTCTATCTTTAAATGTTTGCGGGTTATCTGATTAATATTTTAATTTTTAGACAAACAAAATACCTATCAAACTCAGGGCAAGTGTAAAACAGGGATCCGGCCTCTTAAATCGTGATTTTTTTTGTTAGTTATTATTTTGTTGCTCTCTAGCTTGTCTCTTATAAATTAGCAGTACACATTTTGTTTAGCATGAGTTTGGAAGGTGTTAGCAGAATTAGACAACGACTACAAAAATGATAGATAGACTACGATTTAGTTATATATATTTATTTTTTTTTTTTTTTGGTGAGTTGAGAGACAGCAACAGCTTAGCTTAGATGAGATGAGGTGAGAGATGACAGTAGTTATCGATGATGGATGGATGATACTACCGACGTTATGCTAATACCAACAAAAGCTCGAAATACTCACTTGCAGTTTCTCATTTTTTAGACGCTTCGAGTCATTCTCAATGTCCAGGGGCGAGCGTGTGCGGTACTTCTCACGATCAGCCGGCGAAACCGAATTGCGCTACAACATCAGCATTAAAAGGGGATCGAATGTGGCAACACTTTTACTTACCAATCGCTCCTCAGCGGCTGCTGGTCCCTCCAGACCCGTGGGCTTGATGTCCGGCCTGTGGTGCTCGGGCGGTTTGTTCAGGAGACCCTGCGGTCCGTGTGGCAGACCCATGGTGGCGCCCAGGGCGCCAAATGGATTTAATGCACCCATCGGCTGTGGCGGTCCGCCCGGCACCTGCTGGGCGTGGATCTGTTGCTGCAATGGAACCATGAGATCTTATTAATTCAGGCGTGCGAGTGGGCTGTGGCTTTTTTAAAATTAACATCGTGCTTTGTGAGAAAAATGAAAGCATTTGGAATGTGTATGTTTGTGTGTAAACAACAACAACATTAACACTAAATGGTCTATATCTTTATCGAAACCATATTTTGCCTATAAATAGAAACCCGTTGTTTTCGAAAGCTTAAAGTATTTCCTTTCGTCAGAGGTTCATGAAAAATTTATCAAATATTTGTATTTGACTTTTGAAAATTAAAGTTTTTGAAGACCCAATCACTAAGGTCTTTAAATATTATTTGATTTTAATAAATTCCTGGCATTAAAATGAATATTTAAATTATTGAAAATAGATATCAACATTTTAAGTTAGGATCGAAAGTACTCAGAAAGTCTACAGAAATATAATTAAAATATATATAAATTTTGTTTATCAAATATATTGTATAATAGGTATAAAAAAAAACTTCATCTGAACCGTAAGTATCACTCCTTAATCAACTTCCGCTCTTATGACTAAAATATATCGCGGGAAGACCATCTAACGTTAATAGGAACAGCAACAACAATTTGGCGGCATTTGAAGCGTTATTAAAAAAAATAAATAAATAAATAAAAATATGGACAATCAGAAAGTTGGAACAAGGGAAAGATTATTGTGAGGCGGCACTGGAGCAGTAGTTGTTGTGGCAGTGGCACATTCGGCGGATGCAGCGGCAGACGGCAACAGTAAACAAACAAAAATAAGAAAATGAATTGCAACGAAACAAACTTACTAAAAGTTGCTGTATTCCATGTTGCTGCTGATGCTGCAGAACGTTGTTTGGATTTTAGAGTGGTCGAATGCGAAATCATAACAAATTAGGAAGTAGAAAAAACAAACTCAAATCAAATGTTGCCCGAAAACGCGAACGGAAAGTGGTCGCCACTTAATCATAACAAAGGGAATCACACACATTTTTAAAAATCTGAATCAATTCACTTTCCTATATTCAAATCCATTTAGAAGATAAATCATAATCGTTGAAAAATTTAAGCTTTCTAAGAGATACGTTAATAAAACTCTAATAAAAATTAACTTCTATACGATTTCTGTGATTCTTTTAAATATGATGTAATAAATTTAAAGTTTCCCGAATTCCCCTACATCCCCATCTTCTATTCTTACTGCTGCTGTTGTTGAGGAATCCATCATTGACCATCCACCAATCCATTCGTCCTCTATTCACTTACCCCAATGATCAGGTTGAGCTCCTGCATGGTCACCTGCTTCGCCCGCTCCACCGCCTGCAGCACCTGCTGCTGGTGGTCGGCCTGTAGGAATGGAAGTAGCTGGTTGATCAGTGTGTTCAGCCGCTTGGCGATCTCGGTCTGCTTGTGCATCTCCACGTTAAGGCCATAGGACATCTCGTAGTACTGCCAAGGGCAAAACATTAGCTAAGAAGCTCTGATAATTTGAGGATCATGACGACTTACCATAACATAATGGCGCTGCATCTCCGTCTTCTCGTTCGACAGCTTCTCGCACTCCAATTTGATGCTGAAATTCACAGGAAAAATGATCAACGGGCAAATTAGTTGGGCGACGGAAGCGAACTGAACGCAAGGAAGCGGCGATCATGGAGCTTGGAGCATGGAGCATGAAGCGGCGGCTTCGGCGCAGGTTAATCCTATGACAGCGGCGCATATGGCGCGCCAAACCGGTTTGCTCAGCTTTTTGTTTTACTTTTCGCAAAACGCAGACGCAGCATCCACACTCACACTGCTACAAACTCGTAGGGTACTGCCTTGGTACAGCGAAGGCTCGGAAAGGTTTTGAATGTGATTTTTTTGTTTTCAGTAAGGCCAATAAGGTGGGCTTCAAGGGATTTTAATGGTTTCAAATGGTTCTTAGGCTTTGTGTTCCATTTTGAAAAACTATTTTAAATTGCCTTTACAATAAGTGAAATAATTGGATATAATTTTAAATATCTTGGAAATTCTGTTCTTACAAAAATTTAACAGTATTTTATCGTATTCCTTGGACTGATTTAATTGATAACATTTTCTGTGGAACCATTAAATTAATTTGATTAAATCAGATCTATAATCTGCTTAAGTGTAATAACTTTAAAGCCTATTTATCACTAGGCTCTACAACGATCAGGTTCTTTTAATTAAAATCCAAACATAATAATTGAGGGAAATTATATGAGGCTTGGCGGCACTCTGGGGTCTTGGGCCTGGGAACTGTCCCCATGCAGGATACTTGCCTGTGGTACTGCGCCTGCAGGAAGTTGAACTCCTCCTTGATGCGTTCCAATGTGTCGGCGATGGTGAACTTAATTGGGCCCTGAGGTGGTGGTCCCTATTGGAATGCGTGGGTAGGTGGACACGTGGGGTGGGGGAGACATAGAGAGAGAGAGACACACATGATTAGCGGGCACAGGGTCAAGATACCGGACTGTGTGGTGAACTTACCCCGGCGGCGGGGTGACGCACCGGTGAGGGATACATGTTGTTATTCTACTATGTTGCCGGCTGGTAATAGTTCCGAGGTGGATTTCGGAGCCAGTGCAGCAGTTTCCACCGTTTTCCCGGATGAGCGGAAGTCCTCGTCGTGCTCCTGCTGCTTCTCCTCCGCCTTCTTCACCGGCCGCCTTCCCTTCCCTCCTTCCTTCCGGTTATTGTCGCACACTGAAAACTCTTCTCGAGCGTTTCGGAACTTCCTCTTTTGCCAGCGTTTTATTGCTCTTGTTTTTTTTTTCTTTTCTTATATTTTCGATGGCAGTGTGCTGCTCTCTTTTTGATTACTTTTCTGATCTGCGGGCGGAACGCTTCCGAACTACCGGCACTTAGTGGAACTCCATGGCGGTTTTGTACGGGCTATTTCGCATTTTGCATATCCTGCGAATGGAATTTTACATTTGCTTAGTTATGCTTTTTCATATTTTTGCACCATTTTTTCGATACGTTCGCACGCACGCACACACTAATACACGCACACGGCAATGGCCGAGCCAGCGAGACACACGCACACCACCGCAAAAACGGGAGCGAGGGTACGAGTGTGAGTGTTTACCGCCGAAAAATCAAGCGCACAGTTGCATGTGGCCTCCGAAATTGTTACGCAAAATCACAGTTCGATTTTCGGGGCCGATCGGCGGGCTTATGCGAATTATTGCACTGGCCAGGGCGGGATTTATTCGTGGAAAATATAGCACTTTTCTTTGCTAAAGACAGCACACTCCGCACAAACAACATACGAACATATACAGACAGACTGCAATTAAACAGGGTTGCCATGCTGGCCTGGCCAAAACACCGAACTGTATCTAATCACGTTGAATCTATTTGGTCCAGCCCATTGTTTACCATTAGTAGGCGTTTTTTAAGTTGTTAACTGCAAGCTCAACTGATTTACAATTTTTTAAATTATAGGCAGAGTGTATTTAATGTTTTCGAGCCGAGGGCGGCAACACTGCTCGGAGATACGGCCACATACATAGAAACCAGCGAGTGGCCAAATCACACACACACACGCACACCGACACGGGCACAGCGCAAAAGAAAAATTATACTGTGTCCTATACAAAAAATAAACAAAAGCAATTAAAAAAAGCGAGATAATGGCAGTACCAGTTTTATGCCCCGGATTAGCACGTTTTATGGGTCGCTCTGCGCGACCGTTTGCTCTCGCACTATTTTCGCAGCCAACCGAAATTTATTTAATAGTGGTAATGCTTTTTTTTACAACTTTTCGCCCGTATAAAATTGCCTTTTAGCCGACCGACCGCGAAGTGTCTGACACGGCGTGTATGTGTTGGGCAGCTTTGGCGGCGGCGCTCTCTCGCTCTCTCACACACACAAACAGTACACTCTCTCTCTCCGGCGAAGGGTTCTACTACACGCGCACTCGCTCGCAGCAAACGCGGCTTGTAAATGGCGTTCTCGCCTCAATATTTTTGCAACAATTTTGCACGCGGATTTTCACCTCAATCGCACTGTATTTCCTTGCTGGCGGGGGCATCCGGCGCTTGCGGGGGTTTGGGGGCCTCGGCACTGCCCGTTTCTATTTATAATTTCCTATTTTCCTTCGACACGACCGCGTCGTTTTTCAGATTTTCTAACACTATTCTCTGCTTCCGTTTATTATGCCGAAATTCGTCGGAAAAGGGGTGGATTTCATCCGCCGCGGCAGCTGGTCACACTGAGGCGCTCGGACCGAAGAGTCCGGCAACGCCTTGAGCTCTGTCTTCTCGTCTCGTCGTGCTGCCGGACTAAGTATCTCGAGTGTTTTAGTGTGCCCAGATGCGGTATAGGACTAAAAATACATTTTCAAAAATGCAAAAGCGCGCCAACCTATTGATAACGTATCACTTTAGTAAATTGTTTAATATTTTTAAAAATTATAAATATATATTCTTGTATTAGATTATAATTATTTAATTTAAGCCTTCAGAAATTATAGAGAATTATAATGAAAAATATCTAGAGTGTCTTGAAATTTTTATCTTTTATTTTAGTGTACAATTAAGCTAAATGCCATGTTAATAAAATAGTAACCTTTGCATAAAGTATTATCTTTTATAAAATATATAATATAATCATTATAAAAATAATAGTTTGTTCTAATAAATAAGATATGTTCATTTTTTATAATTTAAACGATTGAATTTTTTTTTGAAATTTATTATTTTATTTACTTTATTTTTAACTAATACATTAAAAAAATTCTTTATTTTTAATTATGAGTTAATTGGGATTTTACATTACAATTAGGTCTATACCAATTGTAACAAATTTCAGAAATGATTCGATTTAGAACAATTGATAAATATCAATAAAGTGTCCTAGTCTGAAATCTGAAAGAAATGCTGAAAGGAAAAATCTCCCACCCCAAGAACCCAAATAAGTAAGCTGTTTTGATTTTCGTTTTCAATTTGTTTGTATTTCTTTTTATATTTTTTGCTAATTGGTTTTCATTTTGCTATTTTGTTGCCATCACAGTTGAGCTATCACAGTTGCGTTGTTGGATGATCCTTCTCTTCACTTCCCACTCCACCTCTACTGCCACTTTACCAGGGGCGCCATAGTTTCTCGCCTTCCAGTGGCAGCGGTGAGGGGGCGGGGCTGTCGCAGTCGCTGTGATAACCGGATGAGGCAGGGCTGAGGGGCGCCTTGTCGGCAGAGCAGTCCATCGGGATGTGAAGGTCGCCGTTGGTGGTGGTGGTGGTCTGGGCCTCGTGGAACTGCTGCAGGTTCTTGTAGATGCGGCCAAGGTGAGTCATCACCGATTTGCCCAGGTCGACGCTCATTCCAGGTGTGGAGGCCATGACGCGTGACACCTCGTTGACGGCGTTCATGTAGCCGTTCTTGAAGCCATCCAGGGGCAGGGCGGCAGCGGGCTCTTCGACTGTCTTCTTCTGGGTCTTCTGCTGGCGCATAAAGATCACCGCCGACTCGAGCATCTCGGCCTTGTCCATGCGCAGGATGCCATCGTCGCCGCGCAGCTCGGCGACAAGTGTCTTCAGGGTGTCCAGGCACTTGTTGATGCGGGCCCGTCGCTGGCGTTCCAGCAGGGGCTTCTTCACCTTCTGGTAGATCAGGGTCTTGCTGGTGTATTCCATTTTTGGTTGATGTTCGAGTAATACGTAATATTTAAAATATTTGAAATATCTTCTCGCAACGAATTGCTTGCGTTGTGTTGCCTTGTTGCTGGCGGAATCGTGAGTGATACCTTGCTCCGAGCAGGCCGTCCTTTTTATAGCTCTCCCCGGTGCCCTGAAATCCACCCTCCTGTACGCACCTTAGTGCCCTCTCTGTCGCGCACAGGGGAGGCTCTGAAGCAGGCCGTCTCTGTCGGAAGGAACAGCTGCAACACGCTTCGGAGGACGGAGGACAATCCTTGTGGCTCGTGGCGTGGGAACCGAGCTGAAAGTAAGTTTCTCACACAATTTTTTCTCGTTTGTTTTCCCTTTTGGCCACATGCTTCGCTCCGCTCCGCTTCTCATTTTTTTTTTTCGAGTTTAAGGATCAGGGCACATTTTTGCAGCTGTCGCTGTTTTTGGCTGGCCCTTGTTCGCATTGCTTTCTGGGCCGGTGTTATTATCCTTAATGCATACTTCACTGCCTCATCCTGTCGCTGGAGCGATGGAGTGAGAGCCGATCCGAGTCGGAGTCTGGCGAGGGAATTGGAGTGGTGGGGGGGATTGTGTGCGGTTCAGGGATATCTGGTTGTGCGTGGGCCGCTCTGGCATTGTTATCCTGCCGTGCCATCTACTCGCTTATTGTTTCATCAATGCCTGCAGACGATGATGGCATAATGCCCCTACTCTCGGCTACGATCTCCGAACTCCTGTCTCCGCTTTCCGTTCCCACACTGCCCCTTGACGAGTGTTTATTGGACACAATTAGTGGATGTGGCATATTGGCTTCGTGCTGGGTCGTCTTGGCTGTTGTTGTTCAATCGTGATCACTCTCTGCCGTCGGGTGGCTGGCAGGGGGACGAGGTCGGACGGTGGGTTGGACGGGCGCAGGAAGTGTGCCCCGCGTGCCCAGCTCGTGGCTGAGGTTGAGTGCTTGTGGCCCCGGGTGAGGCTTGTGCTGGAATGCCAACATACACGTGAGATGGGCTTGTTCCTCCCATTGAACCCCCCTGATTGCTTTGTATGAGGTGGCAATACCTTATGGACTTATTCAAAATAGACAAGGGATGTGTAGTTACTGAAGGGCGGTTCGAGTGTCCCTTGTCCCTACCTGGGATATGCACATCTCCTTATACAACTCCACTAATTGCCTTTTAATTGGTGTTTTAGTAATATTTGATTGATCTTTTTGTACCCGCAGGGGATGTTCGCACATCTCAGAATGATTTAAGAAGAGGTTTACCTTTGGGTTGGGTTATGGTCTCCCCCTGATATATCACCTTAATGAGACTTATTGGATTGTAATTTCGGGATGACCCTCTCAAGTAGACAAAAGGAAGCGAAGATATATAAGTTAGGTCTCATTTTGAATTGATTGCCTATGGGGTATATATATGTCTTACCTGAGCTTCCCCTAAGTAGTAATTTATGATTTATTAGATTATTATTATAATATTATCCATTATTAAACTTAATCGCTTTTTTTTTATAATAAGCAGGCAATATCCAAATGTATTTGAATGCTGTAAGCCGATAATAAGAGTTAAACAGGAACAAACTCTTTAGACCTTCTGCTGAATGCTCTCATTACTTCCCAAATTGACTTTCATATACATGTGTATCTGTACTTTCATATATCTATCTATACATATATTTAATTAGGGAAGTTAATTCGAATTTAAAGCGTTTTATAGATTCAAAACAAAAGCCTAATTAATGGTCTGCACGATGTAGTCGTTTGATATTAATAAAGCCAGCATTACATTAAAATTGACTACCCATTAAGGCATCATGTTGTCTTATTATTTTTTATCTTGTTACTTTTAATTTAGCTCGTTTAAAATAATGATGGGTTGTAACATAATGAATATAATTTTCAAGAAGGCCAGGATATTAAATATTAAATTTGCAAGCTTAAGTTCTTTTATATTTACTTGGGTTTCCAATTCAAGGCTCAGTAATGGAGAACATTATTACTTAAAAATTCCATATAAATGTGTATATTTTATTATAAACTTGGCATTAAATTATTAAGAACTCCGAGGAGACTAAATTTGCAATAATTTTAAGAAGTTTTCTAGCTTAAACTGAGAGTTTATTATATGAGAAAGTTATTTTATGAGAGTTTACTATAAGTACCTTGTCCTATTAGAAATAGGATCTATACCATTTGTGACCTATTGGTGTTTCTTAATACCTGTAAAAGAATTTTCCCCCAAAATAAGAAGATGTCAAGTAAATTTCTTTTCATATTTCATTTTATATTTAATTTCTTTTTCGTTTTGTATATTTTCTTAGTGTGTTTCTGAGATCTCTTAGCTGGTAAACATTTGTAAAAAAGTAGAATTAAAACAGACTTCTGCTCGATTGAGTTCAGACAAAAGTGTATAAAGCGTGCCCTATCACAGACTTAACTTAGAAACCTAAAACTTGGTAACGTAACAAATAAATGAGGATCATTGTAAAGCATTTTCTAAAGCTGCAGTTCCATTGCGCGATTGCCCGAAGGGGGATTTGTGTCTGGATCTCGTGCTGGACGTTTACCAGGGGCGCCACATCTGTCCGGGGCTGCTGATCTGCAGCAGGGACTCGTTGTCGCTGGCATAGCCGCTGGATACGGGGCTGATGGAGGAGCAGGAGCTGGCACTGGAGTTGGCGCTGGAGCTGGAGCCGGAGCCGCAGATGATGGATAGTGGAGCGTTAACGGCCAAAGCCTGTTCCATGGGCTGTTCCAACTGGTTGAGGCGCATGCCCAGATGGGTCATCAGAGTGGTGCCAAAGGCCACATCCACTCGCGGCAGGGAGGCTAGGGCGCGGGAGACCTCGTTGGCTGCCCGAATGTAGCCGGCGCGGAAGCTCTGCTCGGAATTAGCTTTTGGCTGCACTTTGGACTCCTTGAGCTTCCTCAGATGCTGCACGGTGACCTCCAGAATGTCGGCCTTCTCGAACTTGGCATCGCCGGTCTGGGCCACGCACTCGGCCATCAGATCCTTAAGCTCGTCCAGGCACTTGTTGATCCTGGCGCGGCGCTTCCTCTCCAGCAGAGGCTTCATGACCTTGCGGTACTGGTAGGTCTTGGACATCTCGTATTTGGTGGCCATTGTGATGAGGTTTTTGTGATTGGTTTTGTAGTTAACTTGCGAAGAACTCGTTGGAAAAGTTACTCCTGAGATGTGAACTGCACGACGTTTGAGTTGGAAGTGTTTGCCTCGTCTCCGGTTACCGCCGCTTTTATAGCTGCACGTGCCGCTGCGAGAGCGTCTCGTGCTCAGCGCACGCTACCAGAGAGCGACCAGAGAGCTGGAGAGACGGCAGAGAGCTCCGAGTGGCCACCACCTGCCGAGCAAATTACTCAGTCACTGGGACACGATCCTCTTGCCTGGAGTTTCGGTGGTGGGTTTTTCTTCACAAACAAACAAGTTTGGGCTACAGACAGTGTCAAAGAAGTAGGTTGGAAATATTAGGATTTTATATTCTGAAAATTTTATAAAATAAATTATATATGTCATTAAAATATATATCTTTTAGTTTTTAAATATATTTTAAAATGGAAATATACATTGAGAATATTTGGCGGATGGTAATGGCTCAAAAAACTTAACCGAAAAGAACTACTTAACGTTTTCAGAATATTTATTTTTGAAACTTATTTTATGAGCAAATGTTATTTAAAATTATGTAAGGCTTAATAAATATATAAACTCAAGAACAAAGTATCAGAAAAGATAATTTACTATTTTACTTAAATCTAAAAAAATAGTTAAATAATAAAATGCTTAAAAACCCAAAAAATAAAACCTAATATCTTGTCCTCAACTGTTTGGTGTGCCTCACTCTTGGCAGGGGATGATGATGCGATGGTGCAGTTGTAGTTGTGGTGGTGGTAGGGCCACGGTGGTTGCACATGCTGCTTCTCTGTTTTCCTTTCCACTGACATTCGAATCGTGGGAAACACTTTGCCCTCAAGTTTCCCACAAGATTTTTCTCGCTCGTTGGTGTTATAAGTTATAATCGGAGGTAGTCCCGTGTGCGAGTCCCGAGTCCCTAGCTCGGAGCTCCGAGCACTGAGTTTCGAGCCCTTGTGCACATGGCACAGTGGGCCAAACCATTGCAACACATGCGGGGAATTTTCGGTTGGTCCTGTTTCAATTAAGTTTTTACGGCCTTTCCAAACTACGTGCAAACTACGGACCAAGGATTATACGCTTCGTGTCCCGGTACTTGCTACGGTTAGTTTGTAAATTTTATCTCTTGGCGATCGTGGGAACCTAAGTTTACGGTTTTTCCAAGGTGTGCAATTTAAGGACATTCATGAAGGATGCAGGTTTTATACCTTGTACCTTACGGATTTTCATGTCCTGTTCTCTACTTGCTGTGGATAATTTTCGAAGCTCTCTTGGGAAACGTGTGAACATGAGTTTTTGGTATCCTGTAAATGCGGTTTTTCTAGTCGAAAATGTGTGCATTTTCAGGAGTTTTGTGTGAGGCATTTCTTGCAGGTTTGCCTTGGTTGTACCTTACGGATATTTTATGGGCTGTTTTCTACTTGCTACGGTTTATTTTAGAAACTGTTGTGGGAAAAGAAATTTTAGGTCCTTGCTGTTCGTGGGATTTCGAGGCGTATATGGTTGAACTGTGTGGAGTTTTGTGGAAGGTGTTTCACGCAGGTTTTGTACTTTATTCCTTACGGATTTTTGGTTGCCTGTTTTCTACTTGCTACGGTTAATTTTCCGGCTGTGTGGGAACCTGAATTTTGGAAAAACGTTGGGTATGCGAAGGTTAAGGCGGTATAATTACAGGAACTTATTTTAGGAATTTTTTTACAACAGATGTTGAAGGTTTAGAAAATTTGTGGAAGGTGTTCTCAGCAGGTTAGTCCTCAGTTTAAGCAAATTTGAAACTTACAAAAAAGGAAGAGACTTAAAAATTGTGTATGGTTACATTTTTATTTAAGTAAAAATATTAATTTCTTCCTTTACCCTTCAAACATTCATATCATTCCCTTAAAAACATTTTCATCCCATTTCGGAGTGTCCTAGAACCAGTGTAAATCTGACCGAGCTGTGCGAGTGCGAGTCACGGGTAGTGGTGAAAAAACTACCACCTGCCCTTTATTTTATTTAATTTTTTTCCTTGTCAGTCGTGGGCCTCGCTCTCTGGCCCTCTGGCCCCCCTCCTTCGTTGTCAATTATGAATGCTGAATTGTAGCTTCTGTTGAACACTTGGGCTCGGGATCAGGGATCTGGCAACGGGGATCGCTAAGTGGCATACATATACTCTTGCATTCGTATTCCTGGGCACGTATTGCCGTATTGCCGGGGACATCATCATCGTGGGACCTGGGACTGGAAAAATGGGAAAAAAAAGGGATGGTTCGATGGTCGATCGACGAGGGACATGCAAACTAAATGACTGTACGGCAAATTGACACACACTAAAGATTAAATGTATCGCATTCGTTAACTATATAAACAATATAGGAACGCTGGCAGGAAGTGTGCGCGCCAGAGGGAGAGCGGAGCAACGCGAGAGGGAAGATGGTGTGCCGAGAGTGTGCGCTGGCCGTTACAATTTTCTGGCGAGTGTGAGAAAATTTTTTGAGCTGCACATGGCCAGCTCGGTTTTTTGTTGTTGTAATTCTGTATTTTTTTTTTTTTATTTAATAGGGGCACGCAACGGGGTTGGCTTATTGTCAATGCAACGCTTTAATCGCTGTTGTTGTTGTTGGCTGTAGTTGCTGCATTGGATGTTGCTGCCGTGTAATTGAATATGTGTGCGCATGCCTGGCACGCCAAACGCGCGACTGACGCACGCAGCAGCAGCAGCAGCAGCAGCACAAAAAATAAATGTAAAAAATAAATAAATAAAGCGCAAAGGGCCCAGCCTGGCAGAAGCTTGCCACGCATGCGCAATAAAACCGAATGAAATGCAATGCGAATAAAAAACGTTGCAATTTGTTGTTTTTTTTTTTTTAGCATGTGGAGCTTGAGGAGAATCTGCGACAGGAAATTATTATCATTTTGTGCGGAATGACAGGGCTGCGATTAGCCTGGATGCCCGGATATGCGGGTTGAGCTTTGATTTCCATTTGGGAGAATAATTTTATAATTTTTTTTAAGAGCTTGGTATATTTATGGGTTCATTTAAATTTATTTAAATGGTTTAAAATTCATAAATTAAATATATAAAATATTATTAAATTCTAAAAAAGTTAATAAAAAATTTTAAAATTTAAAAAGTTAAAAAAACTCTTTTTTTTATTTAAAATATTTTTAAGGTATTTTAAAAATTCTGAAAAATATTTAAATTAATATATTTTATGTTATTATTTGATTGAAATATATTCGTTTTCGATTTCATTTAGTTGCCAAAGCTCCATATTTATTTTGCTTACCTTTTAATAATGTTTTATAGTTAATATTTTGGAGAATTGCTATTGTTAATTGTAACATTATTATTTCCCAGACCTACCATAATTTTAATGGCTAACCGCCCATAACAATAACCAATCAGTTAACAATATAACTAATTAAAGATTGTAAGCCACTTAACAAATGTCTAAAGACCTCCATTTGTTGATATTTCACCTAATCAGAATCCAATTGGCTAGATTTTCCTGAATGCCAAGTACCCAATAACAAGACAGTAATAATTTCAATTATCATTTTTTTGTAAATATATTTAGTACCCTTATAAGCTAATTAACATTTATTCTAGACTAACTAAGCTTGAGTGCATATCACAAACGTATTTATTATGGCTTTTAATTAACACCTATCGAGTTTTTCCAACTGGAGAGGCTGGCGGAAGATCCTAGTTGGATGCTTGTTCTTTGTAGCTGGCACGCAACTCGATTCGATTCGCAGCTCCATTCATTCATCGAAAGATATGTGGAGTCTTATTCATTCATTCAACTACCGGTTTTTTGCTGAGATAGAAATGACTTTTGTTTACGGTTGCCTTGGGATGTTGCTGATTCTGTGATTGTTGGAAACTGTTTCTTCTGGTGACACTGTTGCAATTATTTGGTTTTTGAAGATGCTGATAGCTTGAGGGAGCTTTGGTTTCTTGTAGCTCCTGTTTTCTTTATTTCTTGTTGAGTTTTTGGGATATTATTGAACGATGTAGTTGCTTCTGGCGAACATCCTGCTGTGGATACCAACAATCCTTGAGCTGCTGTTGTGGGTGCTGGATGCTGCATGAATACAGTTGTTGATGCTGCTCCAGTTGAAATTAAAGTTGCTGCTCTAGCTACCATCCTTTCCTTAGCAGCCTCTTCTAATATATCATCTCTCAGAGCTGTGGCTGTTGCTTTCAGAGGTGTTGATGCTTCTGCTCCTGCTGTTGCTGCTTCTCCTTCTGCTGTTGCTGCTGCTCCTCCTGTTGCTGTTGCTCCTCCTGCCGTAGCTGCTACTGCGAGTGCCAATAGAAGCTGCCCGCTGCCGTCTCCAGGCAAATAACCAAGTGCTCCTCCATCCCAGCCTGCGTGGCCATCAGCATCCGCTCGTTGGCCTGGTTCTGTGCAATCTCCTCCAGACTGTCGTATCGCTGACTGTCGCTATGCGAGCTGCTGCTTTTGCCAAGGCGCTGCAGCATTTTGGCGAATAAATTCTTAACTTTCGACATGGTTTTCTTTGGGTTTCACTTTCAGAGTTCTCAACGCTTTGAGTGGCAAATTTCAACTGTTGTGGTCTGGCAGCAAGTGTCTGGCTTTTATAGCCTGGATGGGAGGATAGCCACCACCCAAAAAACCACCAACCACCCATTGGAACACAACAAGTGCCACATGTGCCTGCCACATGTGCAAACTCTGCGCAGGAGCAGCAGCGGCAGCGGCAGCTTCATCCCGCGCCAGCCACGCTTTCGAAGCAAGCTCAACACGTGCAGGATAATCTCGTTTACCCCCCACTCCTGGCGTACTCCTTCTCCCCCACCTCCTGCTGCTCATCGTCCTCGTTGTTTTTTTCTGTTTCAATGCAGAGTAAATATTGAGAGCGCTGAGCAGTTGTGGTTCCCATGGATAAGGTTCGATGAAGGGCCCGGCCCGGGCTGTGTGTCTGCCTTCCCCTATCCTGCGAGCATCTCGTTTTTTTGTGACTAGGGGAAAAAGTATCCCACGGTTCGAGTGGCAGCTGTTTGCAATTTAGGCCACAGCCCCGCTCACTTCGTTGTCTCAGTGGCGATGGTGGTGGTTGTTCCTGGCCTTATATTTATGGTTGCTGCTGCTGTTGCCCCTTTTGACACATATTGCACTTGCTGCTGCCGCTGCCTCTGCTGCTGCTGGGCGAAAGCCGAGTTGGTTCAACTTTGCTTAATTGCTTCGCCCGCCGCCGGGTCACGCGTCCGTTGCTCAATCGCTTTCCACCTGATTGATATTTGCTTTTGGGCGGCCTGGAAAAAAGCTCGGCGGCTGGCGAACGCGTGGCCAGCGACAAGTGCTGCTGCTCCTCTGATTGGACGTGGGCTAGTCACGTGCTTGGACATCACACGACTCCCGTCCGCAAGGTGTCCTCTTTGATAGACTTTTAATTGAATTGCATTTATCTGGGATCATAATGTGGAGTGTTTGCCTCCCAAACAGGGAGGGGTTGGGTTGGTTTGGTGGGCAAGGAGGGTTGGTTCTTGGCACGAGCTGTGTATGAAGTGTGTTTTGAGGTTGATTACATTCCCAGAGTCAAAGGTAATTGAATGCAAAGTGAATAGGGGTCTCACTGGGTGGGTTTTTCGTTGGGGTAGTCGGTTGAGTGAAAAGAAATGATTGTTTCAATTAGAAAACAGTTTATGAAAAATAGATCAGCGTATGCAGGAGTTACCTGGATATATTTTAGCGTACTCTTTGGAAAAGTGAAAGGGGAGTCATTGAAAAGGTATGTAGATAGGCTCGTCCCTGATCCTTAATGAGGAAATTACCATAAAGGGCAATTGCTTAGAGGCTTTGGTATTGAAGAACTTGATATCTTGATATCGAATACATTTCAATCGAATTAAAGTATAGATTTTGGTTTAATTTATATGTAACTCTAATTAACTTTAATTTACACTTTTTCGTGGGAACTTAAGGTCTTCAAAAGTAATATTCCTATATTTATATTTAAACAAGAAACTAAAAATGACATCGGTTCTTGTTAAAATAAAAATGGAAAGTACAAAGTTGCCCCTCTCCCAAGCATATTTTACAAGTATTTTCCCATGAGGTTCTTTAGATAGAAACATCTACATTAACACCAGGAAGTGGGCATTCGTCTTTAAGCTAACTCTGAGTTATTCTAAGCATCTCATGGATCGTTGGCTTGTTGCTAATGTCTCGCAACAATTGTCCACTTATCGTGCGGCTAATTTATAGCTGGACAAACATTTGCCCGCGACATTTACCTGACAAACAAACTGGTGGTCGGGCATACATAAATCCCTCAAAGGATTGGTCCCCCATCTCCCGCTGCTGTTGGCAACATAATTCGAGTGATCACTCAACCGAATGGATCACTGATATCCAACCATCCATCCGAGCCGAGGCTAGCGATCACTCCAAGCTGTCAGCCGGCTACTGGGGATTCTCACTCACCTTGTCGCGGGACCCATTAATGTTTTGATTGCCCATTGACAAGCCGAGAGCCAGGGACTCTGGCTTTAACTCCAATTTGGACACCGACTGCCGACTCCCCTTGGAAGCCCTCGGAACTCCAATCAATGACAGAGTGCTCGTTAAACTTCTTCTGCGGGTGCGTTCGTTCAATTAGCCCATGTCGTAAACTACAAATAACTATTGCGTACAAGTTCCACGGAATCGGGTAGACGCTGCACGGAGAGAAATTTTCTAGTATTTTTATTATAATATTTTAATTAAAGATAAAGGCAACCTTCTAAATAAAAACAACAGAGGATCCTTTTACTTATGTTAAGGCTACTTAAAAACCCTTCATTGGATTAACCTGAAACCTTAAGGGACTGATTATAGGAAAGGCAGCTTGGCGTAATGATGATCACCACAAATTTGTGGCAATTTCTTGCCGTGTTTCTTGGCTTATACTCATTAAGCCCACAGACTGGTAGCCGGCAATTTAAATTAAACAATCGTCAATGACGGCGACAAGAGTGAAAAACTAAAGTAAAGCAGCCGGCAATCAGTCGGGACGTCAATCCGTAGGTCAGTCAAGTCAGTTGGCCCATCAGTCAGCCAGTCATTCAGTCAGTCAGTCAGCCAGTCGGCAGTCAGTCACACGACGATTGCTACTTGGGCTGATAATAAGCGTCGCGCCGGCGCAATAAATGTGTGCCGACAGCAGACAGCCGACGGAGTGGAGTGGAGTGCCCTCATCTGGTTGTTGCTTCTGTGTTGCCGAGTGCCCCGGTATTGGTGTCTTCTGGCACTGTGTGAGTGTTTGTAATCGTAACCATATAAGCGTCTTAAATGGCAGGTGTGCACATCGCGTGGGAAACACACGACGCGTCTCGAGCGGTTCTCACGATATGAAAATCGAGCAAAACACAAACCAAGAGGGACCCCTGAAGACCCCTCCAATCTATCCACTTTCTCGGGACTCGAATTGGATCTGGAATGGGAATTGGGGTTACCATTAAGGGTTGTTCTTTAATATCAGGCCAGGATTTATGTGCTAAGAAGGGATATCCATTTAGAAAAAAAGGATTCGAGTGCTTGTTTGTAGGCAACTCAAGATTAAATAGTTTTTATCCCAAAGAACGGGTAGCGTTAATTTGAAAAGTCATATCGGGGTTAAGAACTAATGTGATTATGGGAATCAAAATAATGTTTTTCTTAGACACTTTAAAAATGCTTGAGCCTTTTTTTGAACCTTGCATTGATGTATATATATGAGAATCCTTTCCAAATTAAATATATATAAATTCTTATAATATATATTTTATATATATATTTTACCATAAATTTATGATAATTTTCTAATTCTAAAATGATTGGAAACTATATATATAAGTAGGTACCAAGTGCTACTTCGTTCTCCTCTCAACGAGCCAAGGATCAGTAAGCCACAAACAAGACAATTACAATTACCAATTTTACCCAGTTTGATTTTCATTTGTTGGCCCAAACCGAATCAGTTTGTCGCAGACAATTGGGTCTGAGCCCAGACTCCTATTCCCTGGATCACGTTCTCACGTCTTGGCCAGCATTTTACGGTTTAATTGCAGCTACAAAGGATCCAGGACCAGGACACACACTCCTCCTCCTCCTACTCCTTGGCTAGACAATTGAAAGGAGCAAAACGCACACAAAGGACCCAAGAAGAGACCCAAAAAACTACAGCCAAACGATTTCCTTTCCCACGCACGCACAGCAATAAGATTTCCAGATCTCTCCACGGTGCCCGCAGGTAGCAGGTCCTCCAGTAAGGACCTTCTCGCTGCGGGTATAAAAGCCGGTGCAGCCGTCGAACCCAGCATCATTCGAGCAGCATCCTGCAATCAGTCCACACACATCCACAGCTCGCTCAGTTCCCCAGAACGAACCCAAACGAAATAAAATAAAAATGGCTCCTCAAAACAGCAACGAGACTACATTCGTGTCGAAGACTCAGCACTATCTGAAGGTGAAGAAGCCCCTGATGGAGCGCCAGCGACGTGCCCGCATGAACAAGTGCCTGGACACACTGAAGACACTTGTGGCCGAGTTCCAGGGCGACGACGCCATCCTGCGCCTGGACAAAGCCGAGATGCTGGAGGCCGCCCTGGTCTTCATGCGCAAACAGGTCGTGGCCCAACAAGCGCCAGTGGCCCCTCTGCCGATGGACAGCTTCAAGAACGGCTACATGAACGCCGTCAGCGAAATCTCCCGTGTGATGGCCTGCACCCCAGCCATGAGCGTCGACGTGGGCAAAACGGTGATGACGCACCTGGGCGTTGAGTTCCAGCGCATGCTGCAGGCCGATCAGCAGTCAGCTTCCGCAACCGCATCCACATCCCAATTGGAGACCGCCTCCCGTCCCATCAGTCCCGCCTCCTCGGGCTATCACAGCGACACCGAGGAATCCGAGGCCGCCGCCAGCCCCAAACCTGCCCAGTCCAGCAGCATGTGGCGCCCCTGGTAAATCATCCTCGACCTGCAGCAACAACATCAGCAGCAGCAACTCCAAATCCTGTCTTCCATCAGCAACTTTTTCAACAACGAATCATGTCTTCCAATTGAATCGTTAACACTGTGATAACAGCTTTACCTAGGACATAAGCACGCCTCCAGCTTTATTAGTTTAATAAGATTTAGACTATAAAAAAAACACTCAAGCTTTAATAGTAATAAATAAAAACATTATACAAGAAAACTAAATACCTTGACTTGATTATTTGGCAAGCAACTTAGATGGGTTATATTTTTTAGTAAACCTTTTCAGATTTTGACATTATGAGACATGACCTATAGGAAAATTAGAAATTAATTTACAAATTAAAAAAAACAAGAAAGAATCTAACTTCGGGTAGCCGAAGATTGTTTGCAATCTAAAATTGATCAAAACTAAACCAAAACTGCATAAATTTCAATTTGGAAGGCTTTTTTGTGTTATTTAATATAAAGTCTTTAAATCTGCTTATATACTATAAAATAAAGCATTAAAATGTATTTGGCAATGAATTAAATATATAATAAAATAGGGTATATGGATCCTGAGAAAATTGTTAATAACTAATAAAAATCATTGACGTCTTCCAATTAGGAACTCGACTCAGTCTCAAAACAAGAATATAGCATAAGATGAAACAAAAATATAAATTTGTCGTACATAAATATTTCTAATTAGCTGTGTGGATACAATAGTCAAAATTCCTTGTACTTCTCTCTATATAAATATGTATATATACAAGCCTAATTATCTTCCACAAAGATTCCTGCTCGGCTTGCTTGGAATTTGAAAGATTACTTACCCCTTGCAGTGCAACTCAATTCGTTGGAATAATTACCCCGTTTCAAGTGTAAAAGGCTCACATTAGCCATTCCTCCCCCACCTGATGGAAGATCCAAACAAAGTCCGCTCTGTGCGTGACACCACAGCTGAGACCTCCTCGGCGGAGCTCTCGTCCTCCCCCGGGTCCAAGTAGGAGGTCCCGGGTCTTAAAGCCAGACAAACCCCTGGCCAGCGACGCCCCCGAGTGGCGGAGACAAAAAAATAACAAAAAAGAAAAGGAAAAACTGAGACCTGTCTACGCCTCGATCAACAGCTTAACACTGTGGTGCACGTGTTGCTGGGTGTCAACGAATCTGCATACTCCCCGAACCCCTGGACAGACTCACATATCACCATTGTATTATTTTCAACCGGGGAGGTTCCCCGACCATCCAGTTAGCCCTCAATTACAACCCCTTTTGTCCGTTGCACGTGCGCGTTGAGTGATGGGCGGGGACGGGTGATCGAGCAACGGGATCCTGATCATTGAGAAATGTACCAAGGATATCCTAAACCAACACGATATTCAAATTCGTGGAACTGGCCTCCCGCATATGTATATTCGGGCCATGGCACTTACTAATTTGTAAACTAAAAAATAAAACCGAACATAAAAGACTTTTTTAAATGCCTCGCTGTCTTGTGTCAAGTGCAGGCACTGTCGTCCCTCTGTGTAATTCGATGACTAAAAGGACCCCACATGTGTGTTGTATCACCACACTTATTACTGTCTGTGTTATTTTGTAATTATAAAACCAAAGAAACCGCCACGAGGGTCGAATAGATCATATTTAAATTTTAGTTATGCCCAAATACCCTGTAGTTGGGAATATTTGGGGAGGCTTTGCAGGACAGTTTAGGTAATAGAATTTGTAATATATATGATATATGATATACAGGTACTAGATATAATATTTATTACATTGTGCACTAAACAAATAATATAAATATTCATTTATATTATTAATCTTTGAGGTATTCGATTTATTTTCTTTAAAGTTTACATTAAAATTAATTAAAAGAAAAAGCTTTAAACTGGTAAATGAAATCATTCCGAAGTTATTTTATTTATAATTTTTAAAGGGCACCCAAAGTTCGATTTAATAAATATTTTAAAAAGAGTATAGCTCAGTTATTGTTATGTTAACTGTTCGACACATGTGACGCTCTAGAAGACTGTGGCTCATCCTAGTCATCTAGCTCATCCCAAATCGGAGCTCCTCCTATTTCTGTCCCATATCTGAGGCTCATCCTCTGCCTCATTCCATCCACATAGCTCAAGAGAGGTTCGTCTCATCTCGTTTTACGTTCAACGGAATTTTTCGCACGCCTCGTTTGATGTTCACGCTGCTGACCACGGAAAATGTAAACGGAAATACCGTAACAGATTCGGGCAGTTAGCACATCCTCTCGTCCGCATCCTCGCGGGTGTGGAAAGTCCCGTGTCCTGTGTAACCGGACCTGCGGAATTTTTTTCGAGCTAGGAGGAGGAGTGGTAACGAAACGACCTCAATGATCGATGCCATGGGGCTTTTCCCGCTGCAAATCGCCGCAAATGTGTGAAATGTGTGAAATGTTCACGTTCGCAAGTTGCTCACGTTGCGGTGTTTTTGGACAGATATATATGACCCTAACTGTAGGTGGATGACCATATGACCAGATGGGTGGATGTGGACCGAGAGACGTGCTCTCCGAGCAGTAACACCCTGCTGCGAGCGAAACGAGGTCGTCACGTGTACAAACACGATCATACCCACCCCCTTTGGGATTGGGAAAAGACAATGGAGTGCCAGGGTCAGGTTGATTTTATTTTTACTGTATTTTATTTTTCTCTTTCTCTCGCATCCCAATTTTTTTTTGTGTGCGTCGGGCTAATCTACAGTTTTGGGACCTTAAGTGATCGTCTGGCGATAAGAAATCAGTGCACGTGTTCCAACCAAAGATTTCCGTGGAAGATACACTCGCACAAAGGCCACGGAGAGAAATGGAAGGCACCACAGTAGTCACCACCAGAAAAAAAATGTAGGGACCCCCAGCGGGGCCTTAGTTTGGTTTCCCAACCGAAATGGTTAACTATTTTTATTTGTTTTGGGCCTGCACGTGGGCACACAATAAAATCGAGACGAAAAAAAAGAGATTCAAAACAAAACATAGCCCGAGAAAAAACAGAGAAATCTGGGGGCAATGAGTCAACCGAAAAGATCCAGGACCAAAAACACAATTAGATCGACACAATCCGTGCATAATAAGGTCCAAATAATGCGGTAGCATGAGTCAACCGAAAAACGGAGCTAGGATTGGGACTCGGACTCTGATTTTTGTTTGGATTTGGGTTCGGACGACATGTCCAAGGCTATAAAGGGCCAATTTCCAAGAAGTAATCCAATAATTTGGTACTGTTGATCCAGCAAAGGATATTCAATAGATTGAAGATAAAACCCAGGGGATTTTATAGAAATATTCTACCTCTCAATCAAAACCCACTTTGTGGCCTTGTGGTGCCTGGATTTTATAGCTCTTAATTCCATATATGGGTCAGGGTTCTATGGGCTTTGTTAGCTTTGTATCTGGAAATATCTTAATCGGAATTGAAGAAAATTAAAAATATATAAAGATATCAGAAAAGGAAATATTATATATTATATTTTATAAGTCTTAAACATAGCTCTAATTTAAATTAATGTTCAAATGAAAAGTGGCTTATTGAAACAATTAAAAATTTATACGAGAACGTCTTCAGTTGCTTTTTACATATTTTCTTCTAGAAGTATTTAGTTTTATACGAAAAATGTCATTAAAATTATTCGCTTTGTGATATAAAAATCTAAAATAAAATAATATTGGAATAAATTAAATAGGATCTGCTTACTAATATGAATTAATTAGAATTATTTTAAACCCTCTATTGATTAATTTATATTTTATATTCTTTATTTGACCCTTTAAGATATATTATTCCATTTTCATAATCGAATCTCAATTTTATATTATTAAAAACCCATACAAGGATCCCTGTGGCAATTATCCCCCAACCTCTGAATCTCAACTCACCAATCTATAACCAAACCCTCTCCCATATCCAACAAAGGCCAACCAAGTAATCATCATCACCTCAGCAAAGGATCAATAGATCCTGGGGACCCAGGACGAACTGTTAACGCCAGCCTACAACTTCTCACCGAGCTCAGAGGATCTCGCTGCTTAATTTGTCCCAACTCACACACCGGGTTCCAAATATTTATGGCCAAGTCAAAGGACAATCCATTAAGTACGCCAGAGATATCCAAAAAGGAGCAGATAAAAAAACACACTGGGATCCTGGGAACCGTCTTGGCTTCAGCGCCTCACGCGCCATCACGTGTCCAATCCCGACCCAACAAAAAAAAAGGAAACCACAAAAAGAGGGACAAACGCTCGCTGTGCGTGTGCTCCTCCAGCGTGATCCTCGTGGTCCTCCTCCGCCTCCTTGACGTATTCTTCTTTTTTTACTCATCGCACAGGCAGAGAATGCCCCTCAATAAGACGCGCTGGTCCCCTGCTAATTGTGTGCCATCAGCAACAGAAATTAAAAGCAACTCCTTCGTCGACGATCCTTGTCCTCCAGCTCCAGCACTGCTCCCTCTCCCTCCGACCATTATTTATGCCCCGTCTCGCCTCCACATACAATTTGATAAATTTCAAATTACAGCGCATTAAACGAGGAGGAGTCTTCGAGTCGAGGGACGGAGGATCGTCAGATTGTTTGCCTATTGAGCTATGTGATCCTCGGGTACGGTTCGGGGCAGCTCTTAATTGTTTGCCTCCGTTCGAGCGTTGAAAATTGAAAATATTCTCCCACGTTCTCGAGCTGCACACGTGTTCGAGAAATGGAAAAGGGATTTTCCCCGCCCCCCGTTCCCCAGCATCGTGCGTCCCCCTCACACGCACATATCCTTGATAAGATAAGTGCACATAAAAACCAAAAGTGATCAGCAGAAAAGAGGGACAACAAAATAAGGAGGAAAAAAAAACGAATCTCCTTTTCAAAAAGGATCCTTTCGAGACTGTGGGAACTGGTAGAAAGTCTCGTTTCTCACGATCCTGCAGCAGGATAAAATTGCCCCAGTCGCCAGCAGGTGCGAGCAGTGCGGCAAGACATACCGTCACACTCCGACGCACGCAGGTTAATGCCGATGCAGTCCCTTTTTCGAACAAGGCAGAAAAACACACCTGCCGTTTTTGTTGTTGCCCTGCCTTGTGCTGCGTACTGTGTATAGGATTTTCTGAACACGTATCCTTGTAGTTTCCCACACTCGGTGTTTTGTGACCTGCTTGGGCTCGGGTTTCTCCCTCGTCCTGCGGGTATAAAAGGCCCCGAGTTCGGAGGATCAGACATCATTCGAGCTCAACGCTTCGTACAGTAAACATCCACATCTCATCTACACGAAAATGTGCCAGAACAAGACCAACACCGCCAACACCATGACCATCAAGTCGAACAAGAAGCTGTCCTACAGCGTCAAGAAGCTGCTCCAGAAGATCTTCAAGCAGCAGCAGGTCGAGCAGGAGGAGGAGCAGAACCTCAAGAACACCATCAAGGCCAACTCCCTGGAATCTCTCGAATCCATTGAGAACAGCCGCAACGCTTCGCTGGAGTGTGCCTCCCTCGAGTCCTTCGAAAACGAGGCCAACGAGCGTCTCTCCCAGTCCTGCGACATGGAAGACTACGAGTTCGAGCAACTGCCCACCGTGCCCGTTCACTTCGTCCGCACCGCTCACGGCACCTTCTTCTGGACCGCCGTCTCCGATCTGCCCGCCGACAACGATCTCGTCGAGCCCCTTGGCTGCAGCACCGCCAACGAGGTGGCCGTCGCCCAGTTCCAGGATCGTTGGGTTCAGGCCTAAGCGAAACTCCAGAACGACTCCAACTCGCAACTATGTCTTCCATCATGGGATCTCCAGCTTTAAACAACGTCTTCCGTTAATTTTTGACAACGTTCCACAAAAATTAACACGCAAGCCGATCAACTCAAGCTTTACAAAATTGTGATACATTTTTAAACATTTACAAAAACAAAAAACACAAATCAAAATATATATACAATTTAAAAGAAATTTCAATTGCTTTTTATTTCAATTTTTACTTGAAAACCTTTCAGCTCAATTAAAATAATTAATGGGAATTAAAGGGAAGTGAAATCCCTTGGTGATTGGCAGCTTCCTTTCATTTGGGGAACTTCAACCGCAACAGAAATTCTGATACATTTGACTCAACATTCTCTCAGAATACAAACTATAACCAAAACAATAGAGAATAAATCAGAATTTCCTGGCAACTATTTTCCGTTTTACAAATCAACAACACAACACGAAATAAATAGGCAGCGAGAGATCCTTTGTTAATTGGCATGACTCATTTGAAAAACGAGCAGGGACCCTAATCCGATTCGATCCTGAACCTTTTCTCAGGTCTTATTGTTGATCAATTTACCTGCCAGCAGGTAGGAAGATACAGATAATCGGGGGTTGTTTGGCCTGTTGCTGTTTGGCTGCAGTTCCAACCAGTTTTCGGTGCGTGCAGGTAGAGAGAGGATCCGTTGATTGCCGATCAGATTGCTGGGAATCGGGCCCGAGCTCCAATTAGATGATCTGCTTATGAATCAGGGTGAAGGCGCAAAACTGTTGCATACATTGAGGCTGGAGCAGCTTCCAATTAACAATTAAAGGGTAATTAAGTCATTAAATGGAAGGTAAATAGAAGGTAAGTAATCTAATATAATATATGATTATGTTTTTGATTGGCGAAGATTTAATGGGTTATATATTTTAAAGTAATTAAAAAATTAAAAATATCAGGAGTAATTACATTTTACCGACGGAATATGCTCATTCATAAATATATTAGAATTTTGTTAAATTTTATATTATATTTTAAGAAATATATTTAAGCATTTTTCTTTAAAAAAAAATCTGAAATAAATCTGTAATTCATCACCTCCCAGGAAAGAAAAGAATGTAATTAATTTTTCAAGTTTTTTTGATTTATTTCAGTTTTAATTTATTTATATTTTGATTTGTTTCTCCACAAGTAACCATAAATTAACATTTATAAATTATTTAAAGCTTAACATAGGCATCTAAACAATTAAGAGAGCGCAACTAATGAACTTAGGAAACGTTTGAAGTAGGAAATCTGCGCACTCGAAAACATTCACTGGATCGATCATCGTACATTAGGTTTATCACAGTTGAGATTAAACAATTATCGTAGCTAAAACTAGAAGTATTTCAAAACCTATTTGAGGCCGATTAGCGAATCGACCACAAATGTACTTTGTTTGTTATGATTTACTTTGGAAGACAACGGATCCTGTTGCTTGAACGGTTAATAGCCATTTTTGGGTTGCGGTCGTAATACTAAGATAGGATCTAGAGGGCGTTACCAGGGCCTCCAGACGGGCTCCGAGGCGCCGGACTCCTGCGAGCTCACCGACGCCGTCTCGGACATTGCGGCCCCGTCAACGGAGGTCACATCGATCAGTTCGTCCTTGCCAGTCAGGAAGCAACTATAGCTGGCGGCAGCAGCGGCGGCAGTCTGTCCATAGCCACCCAGCAGCGGAAAGGATAAGCGGCCCAGAGATTGTTGTTGTTGCTGCTGCTGCTGATGTTGTTGTTGCTGTTGCTGCTGCTGGAGTAACTGCGTCTGCAGTTCGATTAGTCGCGTCGAGAGGAATTTCATAATCTTGCGGCCAATCTCATCAGTTTGCTGGGTCTGTAGCAGGACCTGGGTAATCTGATCGGCGGCATGCACGTAGCCGGAGCGAAAGGACTCCACGTGGGCGGTGCTGGTGGCGCTGGGTGGGCTAGTGCCTCCGGCAACTCCGGCCACTGCCTGCAGGGAGAGGCCACCGCGCTGCTTCAGCTTTCGCATGTGGTCCACGGTCAGCTCCAGAATGTCGGCCTTCTCCAGTCGCGTCACATGCTCGCCCTCCTGCTGCAGGCACTCCACCATCAGGTCCTTGAGATCGTCCAGGCACTTGTTGATCCTGGCCCGGCGCTTGCGCTCCAGCAGGGGCTTCATCACCTTGCGGTACTGATACGTCTTGGACATCTCCATGACCATGATCGGTTGGCGGCTTCCCGGGTTCAATTTGGTTCTTCGAAGGACTGTTCTTTTGGCTTTCTTAGATCGCTCGACGGCACATTATCACGTCCGATTGCGGTCGGTTTCATATGGGTTTCTACGAGATTGCTGCACTGTGGTGCGTTCAACAGGCGGCACTTTTACGAAATGAGTGGCAAACTAGTTCCCAGCCCTACTTTTATACGACCCGTGTGCCAGCCACTCTCCACTCTCCCGGATCGCAGCGCTCGCGTCCACAAAGCTCCCGCATGATCACACACACACACACACACGTGTTCCCAGGCTCTTCGGCCCGAGCCGAACTCGGTCTCGGATCGGTAGCGGCGCTCGGCAGCGGCACTAAGAGAGGCTACTGTAAGCCGCCAAGGCACTGGGGTTGGATTTGGATCGTCTGCGGAGGCACAGTGGGTACAGGTTGGTTATAACGTAAGGCAATTCCAATACAATAGGTCTTTTGATTATTTGATTATTTGAAATCGAAACGATTAGATCTTGTCTGAATTCTGTAATACTCCAGTATGTATAAACCTTTAAGTCCTATTGGTAGGTAAACACACTGGTTAAATAATCTAGTCTTCTGACAAAAGCGATCTGAATTAGACGAAGTCCTAAAATCAAGACGATTAAACCTTTCGATCGAATAAACGCTCATTTAGAAATATAATCTAAATGGACTTACAATTTTTATATGTTTTAAATAAATAATTTAAATATTTTTATTAGAATCCAGATATAAGGCTTTTTTTTATTTATTCATAGATCTCCAACAGTTTTGCCAATTTTATTAAAGGGAATATATAATGTATTTGTTTTATATTTTTATAAAATACAGGCATTATCTTCTGGAGTTTTTTTTATAAAATAGAGATTTGCGGCCTTTTCTTATTTGCGTATTCCCCAAAAAGTAGACTATGAAGAATACAGAAATAAATAGATTTATATCCTTTGTGAATATCTGGAATTATTATTTAATTTCGTATTACAGATCACCCCTATTTATAGACTTATATCAATGTTATCCTCTGAACATTAAAATTTCATTTGAACCTGAAAATCTTGCCCCACTGTGCCCCAGAGAGCGATCGTGCTACAAGTGTCTCTGCATCTGTATAAGTAACTGAGCCTGTGGCTGTGCTCTGGCGCGCGTCGTCTTCAATTGATTGCAGTGCCACATAGAGAGAGAGAGAGAGAGAGAGAGAGGGAGCTCTGTGCTCCACTCGGATTGGAGCTCATTCTCACCGACTGCGCGTGGCTCTCAGACGTTCTCTCTAGGGCCCCCTGCTGCCTGGTCCCCGCTGCCCGCACCCATGTCATACTTATTGTCAATGATGACAGTGCTCGGCTCCCATTCGCCGTTCGTCGAAGTCGATTTGCCGCTCGCTCGCACCTACAAGGAGACTTGGGGGAGCCTACCACCGACTACTGTGAGTGTGACTGTGACTGTGGGGTGTGTGTGCGAGTGTGCCAGCTAGGGTACCACTCTGTGTGTGTGTGTGTGTGGTGCCTACTTTACGAGACCGTGGGAAACAGATTTGTCGTGTGTTTCCCACACGTTGGACGGATGGCTGGATTGTGATGCGATCCGATGGATTGCTGAAATGTTGTTGCTGCTCCGGCTGTTTGCTGTTGTTGCTTTTGTTGGTGCTCTTGCTGTAGCTGCTGGTTGATTTCAAGCGGGTTGACTTTTCAGTCCAGCAATGAGGGGGGCAGTGGGCGACCGGGGAGTGGGTTAAGAGGGGACAGGGGCCTTAACTCGCGCAATTATGTCGCATGCTTGGCTGATGATGATGACTGCGACAACTGCACTGAGAGAAATTTAATTGGCATGGAGGGAGGTAATTAGATTAATAAGATTTGATCTAAAAGAAGGACGATTCTGATTCCATTATTATTTTTTCAAGATACGTTTTATTTTTTATATATTTTAGACAAATAATATTTTTAAATATTTAAATAAATCTTTAAGACGTATTTGTATTTATGCATACATTTTTAAGCTATTTTATTTCTTATTAACTTTTAGATACTTTTATTTTACATAAATATAAATAAGGATTTTCGGCTAAAGTCATCTTAGGGCCAAAGTATAAATTGTTTAAAAATATGAATAAAATTCTTAATAATATCCAAACATTTATTGATTTTCCATTTTATACAGAAAGGTCGATATAATTCTTAATTTTTATAATTTTTAGCTAATAACAGCTATTAGCATTAAAAAATATGATACTTTTGAATCAATATTGTCAGACTTTTTCGCTCTGTGCACCACCACTATGATGGCTTTGGCTTTGGCTTGACTTTTCGTTGAAGCGTATCGATTAAGTGTAACAGTTTCGCTATCTCGGCGCATTGGGGGTTCCGAAAAACTCTGTTTAATTTTGTTTTTTTGCATAAATAGACCCCATAGGAAAAGCAACCCTTTGCCACCCGGGGAATCGTCATAAACTTGAACATCCGGTTGTCGTTCTAAGATTTGTTTTTCCCCCGCCTCATATATAAATTTTTTAATTCGCTGATCTCAGGGCTACTGGTCAGCACAGAGTGTATAAAATGTTGCCTGGTTTTTTATGTGCGTCGCTCTTTATTCGCAGCCAGCTGCCGTTCGAGCGGGGCTTTATCGCCGTGGCGGCAATATGACACTTGTGGTTGGACGCCTCGAAGTTATTTTTTGTTGTTGTGGCCAGAGCTGAAACTGTTGCTTTTTTGCCTGGCTAAGCATTTCCCATGATGCTGCAGAATCGCTCTGTTTGTTTGTCTTCTGGCCATGACTTCCGTTAGCCGTTTGCCGGCCATTCGGCATTCGGCTCTCGGTTTTCTGCTGACTACTCACTGCTCACTGCTCACTGTGGCCACAACAATTAAGCATCTCAAGGCATCTCGCTGCGATGGCTCGCCTTTCAAGATGCCTCCTCAACTTTCAACTTGGCCAGCACACGTGGCGTATGAGCAATGCGAATATGCAAAATAATCATCGCAGACGCAGACACACGGACACGGACGAACCGCAAAGCCATTTTCGACTAACCTCAATGCACACTAATTGCTTGTCATATGTGACCGTCCGCGTGTCTATATAGTATATAGTTTTGCACAAAAAAAAGAAAAAACTTGTTGCCATCGCCGGCCGTGTGAACCAAAAGCTTAAAAGCCAAATAGTCGGCGATGGGTAAATTTCATGTTGAGTGGTCACTAAGCAGCGAATAGGAGATGCTCTTAGGGAAGGGAACTCAGCCTATTAATAGAATAATTGTCATAATTGTAGCTAAACATTCTCAATCATAATTAAAATATGATTCTAAACTAGCAAAATGTTATCAACATATTTATTTCTAGCTAACAAATCAAATTATTTAAATTTTTAAAAACCCCACAATACTCCTAATCCTACAACCCCAGCACATCCTGTAACCATTAGTCCCTCCTTAAAGCAGTGTATAAACTCCTAACTATTCAAAGTGTCTGGTCGCTGAAAAGGCGCAAGCCCCGGCACAAGCTTGGATGTCGAAGTCGCAGCTGAGGCTGGCATCGTTGGTCTTGGTTTGGGATTCGGATTCGCAGTTGGAGTTGGAGTCGTAGACGCTGTCCGTGTGTTGCCAAGTCAGTCGCTTTCAATTTAGCAAACGTGCAGTTCAAAGCCTAGACGCTGATTGGGGGCAAAAGTGCGCGGGTGATGGCGGGGGATTTCAGCCAAGATTAATAGCGGCCAAAGGCAAGAGAGCCGCTTCGGGCCGCCGAGTGGCTGTGTGGAGTGGAGTGCAGTCGAGGCTAGAGATCTCTTGGGCGCAAGCGTGCGGTGCACACGCGATTGGCACGAGTTTCGGCCACAAATAAAATATACAAAAAAATCAAGAAAAATATGTACCGAAACCGGGTTTGTAGCAGAGCTGGCCTAACTAGTTGCGGCAGCTAACTCCGATTGTTGTGCAGTGTGGGAACCTGCAATCCAGCAAGGACTTGCTGCCCGAATCAGGTCACGGCCTCATTAGATCCCCCTCCATACACCGAGACACCATCCCAGGCCCAGGCCCAAGCCCGTTCCCAGATCCCAGTTGCCAGCGAGCGTGTGAACCACAACATGTCATAATCCCCTTGGCGGGACTAGTCCCTGTTTCCTCTCGAAATGAACTTATCAGCGCCGGTCGCTGCGAGCCTTGATTATAAATGACAACAAGCGGGCCAACAAGTAGCAATAACAGCTGCTCGCCCCGAAACAAAATCACTTCGCAGGGGAAACAGAAACAGAAACCGAAGCAGAAACAACAATAATAGTGCCCAAAAAGCCGAAAACCAAGTGAAATTCTTATAAGCCCTTTCCCACACTCGAAGACATCGACAGCAGCGACGCCTGCGCCTGTGCCTTTGCCTTTGCCTGTTTTTGTCTTCAATTCCCCAGGACGGAAATGCGCAGCGTCTTAGTCCCACGCTCGCAGAAGGGAACAGGTGCTGCCAGGGCCCGGCCCCTTCGTGACTACGGCCCTGTGGTGCACTGGGCACCCCTGCCCCTGCCCCTGAACCGGAGTCCCGAGCAGCGAACAGCGAACCCTGAAGCCCAGGCCGGACAACAACCCATGGACGAGTACTACTGGGCTCCGGCTCCGGGGCTCTGGGTACCGTGTGAATGTGAAAACAAAGTCAGTCGTGCATAAATGAGGAACAGGCGATGTGCACAGTGGTTTTAAATGGGTTTCTGGGTGATTGGGATTAAGGGGAATTGATATATTAGGAATTTCTATCTATCTATGTATCTATATATATTTATATATCTATTTTTCTATCTCTTAATCTATATATCTTTAATATATCTATCTATCTATCTATCTATCTATCTTTCTATCTATCTATCCATCTGTCTATCTAACTAACTAACTGTCTGTTTTTTATATCAAAATATAATTAATATTAATTCTCATTGCCTCGATTTGGGTGATTTATTCAAAATGTATAACAATATGTGTTGCTAAACTTAGACTATTTATAATAATTTTAAAATTATGATTGGTTTATATTCTTGACTAAATTTAAAGCAATGAATTGTTTATTTTATTATTATATCTTTAATAACTTTCATAAGATATTTTATTATGAAATTTACCCCTAAAAAGATATTGATAAAAAAGTATAAATTAATGACAAATATTCGCATTATGTCCTATAGAAATTCCAGCTTAGGTACCTCAGACCATCCACAATTGGATCTCAATTCGATTGTCATATTTTCCCTACTCTTCCATCTATTTGTTACCACTGTGCAGCCGCGTCGTCTTCATCTTCTCTTCTACCTGCAGCCAAAACTCATCAAGCGGCCCTTGTCGATTGTACGTGCATGGGAAAAGTACACACACCAGAAACAAGAAGCGGGGGGAGCTTGTGGATTCCTGTTGGAATTTATTTGGGAAATACGCGCACATAAAAAGGTTCACCTCTCACCCCCGGCCATGGCTTTGGTCCGGTGTGTGTGAGAGTGCACTCAAATTTCGTACGGTGCTTGCTTGTTGCTGTTGCTGGTTACTACCGCCGCTCGTGAGATCAGCCGGCGTACGATTTCACTCTTGACTGGCCAGCGGCAGCGCAGCGACAGCGGCTCATATATAAATATGAGCGACGCCGGCGCAGCAGCATCAGTTATCGAGCAGGTCTCGCGAGGTGCGCACACGCAACGCTCGCTGCACTCGTACATAAAGAAACACCCATTGAAAGAACCAGGAAAAGCTGGCCACAAAGCTCTAGCATCAACATGTATCTGGATACGAAAAACCTGACGGCCAACAGTGGCAGCAACAGCCCAGCGGCGGTGCCAGCGACACCTGCGAAACGCATGCGCAAAGTCTGGCTTCCACTGCGACGTCTGCTGACAGTGGGTGGCAAGGGTCGACCCGCCCAGCTGACCTTGGCCCATCCCAACAACGTGGATCTCAACAACACACAGCAGCAACAGCAGCATCCCCAGTTGGAGTTGCTCATCACAGACGAGAGCAAAGCAGCACCCGAGGAGTCTACACAAAAGTACGGCTTGGAGTTGAGACAATCTCATCCCCAGGAGGAGCTGGAGGATGTGTCCCTCACCCAGCCGCCCAACACGCCCACCCTGATAAGCAGTGTCTACGTGGAGAAGGTCAGTGCCCGGAGCTGTGGGGCCTGCCAGCATGGACGCAACTGCCAGCACACACATCACACTAACAGCAGCAACAACAGCAGCAGCAACATCAACATCAACAGCAGCAACCTTCAAAGCAGCAACACCCCCTCGCAGGTGCCCAGTTCTGTGTGGGATCTTCAGCTGCCGCTGCAGTACATCAGCACGGATAATGGCACCTTCTTCTGGACCAATTCTCAGGAGAGAGTGGACGACGATCTGCTGCATGCTCTGCTCTGCCAGAGCTTCAGTCAGTTGCCAGGAACGCTCTGCTGAGGAGGACTGACTCCACCCACAACACCCCACCCACTGAACTCATATAACTTAACAGATCTCAATCATAGAGAGGGTATAATACCCTTAGATATTGTAATTTCAACTATTTATTATCCAGCGCAATATAATTACTTTGTTAATGTGATACTAATTTGCATGTAAAATAAAATATATACACTGATTTTTTAACCATTTAAATGGAAAGAACATGAAATTGGATAGATTATTTATTTATTGAAGGGGAAATGTTTACAAAGGGGAATTAATATGGGTTAAAGGAGAATATAGTTGTTTAAAGTTACAGATTTAAGGTGTTTACTTAATGGGAAATATAGTTTGAGTCTAGAAAACGGAAGCAACATTAATTATTATTATATTTTAGATCCTTACAGATTTTTATGATAATCTTAAAGAATCTTAAGAATTTTTATTGAGCTTCTTCAAAAGATATCTCTTCCTTTTATATTCAATTTAATTATCATAAAATCCAACATGACAAAGCCAAATCAAGATTTTCCTTATTAGAGCTTGATATACAACAATGTAAGTGCTTTTCCATCATCGTTAGAGCCTTGGCTGGAGGCCAGTAAAAAGAACTTGATCACCTCTATTTCGCCTTATCATCATTTGAGGATCATGGAGAAGAAGGAGAACTCGATCTCTGTGAACGCTCGTATAACGGAAGAACGAAGATGAGAGCAAAGGATAACGGAAGCAGTGTTATGAGTGGAACCTAATGAGGCTTGACAGATGAACGGCCTGAGAAGACAACTCGGTAGACCGATAAAAAGAAGATGTGCTGCAAACTGGTGTCATCTTCCAGAGGATGTCACATCGATGCTTACAGGCTATACATAAAAAAGGTAAGTTTAATGACAATGACTCCAAGGCGTATATCCTGTGTCAAGTCAATTAAAGCTGGTTGGAGATTATTTTAAGCTTTTAATACAAGTTTTTTGTTAACTTTTATTTCAAAACATTCTGCAGGAAGTCGACTTAGTAGACGGAATACCTATAACCTATAATCTATGCTAATCTTATCAGACCTATTTCTTTTGCTTTCGTTTTTCTTTTGCCAAAGTCAGTGTACAAGCCAAATTAACTGCAAAGAAAAAAACCCAACTGCTCGTGCCATAAAATCGTTTCACTTTCGCAACTCCCTCCCACTGCGACACCTTCATTAACAAGTCGTTTCCTTGTGTCTCATAAATTCGTTAGGATATATTTCCGTTTCAGACAATAGCCTGACTATTTTTGAACAATAGAAGGGTCAGCATTGTATTCCGCCTCGATCCCATCCTTAGCATTTATCGTCGCGCAGGACACGGAATGTCTCAGCGGCCTGGGCGCCGGAGACCTGGAAGGCGCAGTTGAAGTTCTCCAGCAGGCAGGAGTTGGGCAGCTCGGCACGATATTTGCCATTGGTGATGCACACCGGCTGGTAGATCATCGAACAGGGCTTAAAGCATTCCTGGACCTCCAGTTTGAAGCTACCCAGCTTCTCGTGGAGATTCTCCACGAACTCGGAGCTGCACCAGGCGGCATCGGTGGCGGCATAGGCTGAAGGAAGATATATTAATTGAAGTTCTTGGACAATTTGTAATTAATTATGACTCACCCTGCAGGCTGTTCCTCTCCCGGCGACAGTTGTGGGACAGGAGGTTGCAGTCGCTGGCGAATTCCTTGAAGTTCTGGCCATCGGTGGCGCACACGGGCTTGTAGATGGAGGCACAGAACTGCGGACAGGCTGTGTCGTTTGTGGACACTGTGTTGCCGGAAACGGCGGCCACCAGCACCAGGCAGCAAAGGGTTAAGGTTTGGCTCAACATTTTGAGTGTTTGATTGTTTTTTATTTAGGTTGCTTTGGAGAGTTTCGCGTGGCGTTCGCTCTGTAGTAGCTATTGGTTTCAATTGCCGTGACTGTCTGAAGTTCCATTGATTTTTATATATTTTTATGACTCTCCGCAGCTACTCTCACTCACCTATAGATAGTTTATCAGTTGCGGCGTGCTGATAACACCGGTTCCTTATCAGCGAACCAAACAAAAAACTTGTTTATGTGGCCCAAAAAGTTCTACGCTTTGCTGGCTCTCTGTTTGGGTGACTAACTAAATTTCTTGGCCTAATTGCCTTGTCTGCTATCTGGGGAAGAGTTTGGTTATCACAACATCAACTTTGTCTTTTTTCTATCTTGTTTTTTGTATCTCTAAGAAAAGTTCCAAGTACAAGTAGTATTGATAAAATCGGGGAAGTATTATTTTCGATATCAATGTTTTGGTTAACAACGAGATAAATTTTGTTTACAGATTTTCAAGTTGAAGTAATATCTTTTTTTTGGAGATGATTAAACTCTTTTGAGGAACTGCGTAGTTTTTGTTTACTTTATTTTGGCAAATTTAAGGAAAATTGAGTAATTTTCTGGAGAAAGAATTACATTATTTGGGCAAACATTACGTTAGCTAATTAATTTGATATCTGTATCAATTTTCAACATTGTTCCTTTGAATGTAATTGGTTTACTTAACATATCATTCACAGAAAAATCCCCTAATTCCCTTCACTCTCTTAGCACATTTTTGACAAATGATCTTGGCTCTTTCCACACACTTCTTCGATCTAATTCGGTTACAACATTCTTGGCCGCCCACATTGTTAAACAGTTCATCGCAACCGCCAATCTCCATGGGGAATGGACATGGATATGGGTACGGGAACGGGTCTGTTGGTAATTGAGGCCTCTCGGAAAGCCACACACACACTCCGCTTCGCTTCGCTACGAAGAAGGAGGAGGAGGCAATGGCCAAGGGAGCGTGGTGGCGGACGGGCCTAATCACCGTTTAATGGTGTTCACACACTTGTTGCGACCGGTGCGGCGCCCTCCATAGAGCTGGCCAAGACCAACGAGTCAACTGGTGTTGGCCTGGCCAATCAATGACCGCTGAGCGAATGCTCGTCACGCACGCGAAGGCCGCTCCGTCGGTCGTCGTCGTCGAGAATTGGGTACACACGCGTCCATTAAACCCACCGATGACCACAGCCCAAAACCCAAACCAAAAACCCAAAAGCCAAGAGCAAACATCAAACCACGGCGAAGACAGCTCGGCGCAGGATCAGGTTGGAATGGGTTGGCAGGTTCTCAACTGCACGGGGCTCACTGTACACAGGTATGCAAATGAGCCACGGCCACGGCCCATGTAGATGCCTATCTGACTGCTCCTCCAACTCCTCCTCAGACTCTATGCTATCATCACCATCGGCATGAACAGTGTCATCAGCATTATCAACGGCATTCCATGATGGGTTCTTTCTTCCAATTTTCAATTCTTTCGTGCAGACAAGCGTCGCGTTGCATACGGAATTAATTATGTGCTGTCAAAGGCAATTTAACAGAAACTTATATTGCTACTTAATTTACGTCACGGCGCTACCAGAACTTTTTGTTATTCTCTACAAAAGGGTATAAGATAGGTAGGGATCTTTTTGAAAATGTTTTAGGGTCTTTGGGTTCATCATTTAAGGATTTTTGTTTCTTTTTTGGGATGATTTACACTTTCCTATAAATTTTCTAATTATTTCAAATAAATCATATTAGATATAGGATTATTATTATTTTTATATACTTTTTCCAAATTGTAAAGGGTTTTGATCATTAAAATCGCTGATATTCGTATTATTTAAGGGGGGGGTAAGGTTAATTCGGTGCAAAAAAAGCCACTTTTTAAATTTTTAAATTATTGTGGCGGAACGGCTAAAGTTAGCTTAATGAATTAAATACCATATAATAACACAAAATTTCAATAATTTTTGATACATTTTGTATTGAAAAATATTTAGAGGTAGAGAAGTTATAGGGAATCTCCCGAGTCGCCTCCAAAAAAGTTGTTTTGCGGTGTACATCCTAACAGTCCACAGGATCATCCGATCTACAAAAATTATACCTCATTCGTTAAAGGATAAGTGTCCCGAGGTATTCACGAAGCGTTTTTATTTTTAAAATTTTTTCCCTATTTTTTATCAAAATTTGAAGTCAAAACCCCGATTTTTGACTAAAAAAAAAACCTTATTTCTTAATTTAAAAATATATAAAAATTAAAATTTAAAAAAAGGCCGACGTGAATACCTGAGGAATTAGTTAAAGAATGTGTGTGCCAAATTTCAAATCGATCGGTCCAGTAGTTTTTCTGTAATCGTGTACACCGATTTGAAAAATTGAATTTTTCAGGAGAGCGCTTTAAACTTTGTGATTCTCATGCATTTAACACCAACCGACCTTCGTTCAACTCTGCATAACTTCGTCAATTTTCCCATGATCGATGTAAAACTTGGACACAATATTCTTAAGATATTAGGCATTAAAAATAAAAAATAAAAAAAAAATTACGAAAAAAAAAATTAAATACCTTACCCCCCCCCTTAAACAATTTATGTATATTTTATTCGATTTATTAACAAAATACCCCACACAAAAATCAAACACAGACAAACTTTCTGAATTAAAATTAGTGTTTTTTCGACTTAGTAAAATGTGTCTTTACAATTCGATCGATTGATCTTAGGGTATAGAAAAATCGACCCACCAAAGACATCTTCCTTTCTTGTTCTGGTTATTCTTGTTGTTATTTTTCTTTGCTTTTTCCTTTTCCCAACTTCTTTTGGTACTCCTTCTCCTGCTGTCGACATCAATTTGCATTTTTAGTGTAGGAGAAATGCGTTTGTGATTGATAGAGCGGGACGAGGAGTGAGGACTGGGGAGTGAGGATCGTGTGAGGGACCTGCTTGGTGATTCCGAGATTCCCTAGCCCATCCCGCGGGGCGATTATCTTTCGCGGCAACTGTTTTTATGCCCAATTCCAACGTCCGCCTCGAGACGCCTTGGCATGTGATTCGATGTCTCCGAGGTGTTGACGTCTACATGTTGCATTTTAATTGTGCGTTTTCGGTTGGGATTCAGATCCCAGCAAAGTTCTAAGGTCTTTTCCCCATTGTTTCTCGGCTTTCTCCACACCCTCTTCGGCTGAGCTCCGGCTCATAAATAAGTTGTCCGACATGCGACGACCGACGCAGTCCGTGGCCAGGAGCGCCGTGAAGTTATGCGCACGACATCCATATTTGGCCAGGCACAGGTGGCGATGGCGGCCTTAGGCCAAGGTGATAGCCATAACACAGGCCGTGGCAACGGGCCAACTTGGCTCTCGCCCAGGTCCATCTCTCCAGGCACTCGTTCCTCACACCTATCGGTGTTCTAGCCATCTAGCCAAGGCTGTCCGCAAGGTTGTCCATTTTGGGAGGTAGCCATCCAAAGAATGGACTTTCTTGGGGCTAACACTTGGGCTGGTTTTCTACAGGATGTGCTGGAGTGGCAATTATTCTTCGCCACTCTTCACTGACCCAGTATTTTAATTGTGAATGCGTCAATTATAAGGCCATTTCTTTGATTGCGATCAACCTAGATCAAAGGGGACTTTAATAAATTCAATGGGCTAGATTTTAATTTATTTGTAAGGACTTCGATTTGGATAATACGTTATTTTATGACTCCCTTTCAAATTGTATGAGTTTAAAATTATATTAAAATATTTGGGTATTAATGAAAAGACATTTAATTTTATTAAAAGTATACCCAGATTATTTTTCTTCTTAAAAATAACAAGCAGCAAAGGGTTGCTAGAATAATGAGTAAATTTATAAGTCCATAATTTATGTAATAGAAATTTGCATTGAGAGATACAAATGGATTATAATTATTCCCTTATCCAAATTATACAAATTTCACATTGTAAAATATTCCAAGGATATAAAGCCAGCTTTATAGTATTTAAATAAATAATAATTTCGAAATAAACCTTAAATTTTTCACAATTTTAACTTAGAAATCAAATAATTCAACGAATTTTCCTTAAACAATCTATAATTATTTCCAAATAGAAACCCTTAAAAGAATTTCCTTTCTAATAAGCAACTCTTACTCACAGTTTCTAGAGGCAGTCATAAAAATGCTTTTATATGGGATGTAATTCAAGTGTTTTTATTTCTTCTATCATATCCCAGAAATAACTAGAAAGATCTCTGAGAGCGTTGGCTCTTATCTGTCACGTTGACTTTGAGAAAAATATTTAGAGTGCGACAACAAGAGATTCATTCACATGGAATGCCAGGCAATCTTTTCTCGAGTCATAAAATATCCATTCAAAGATATTTCTGTTTGTGCTGAAACAAGATGCCCCAAGACCCATTCCCAATTACAAAGATGTTTGAATTAGATTTTGATATTTCATGTTTTTTGTATTTTGTACGATTGTTTTAAAGCTCTCTTTTTCTATCACAATATCTTATTAGCTAATGGAAGCGCTGGATCGCCGTTGAGATGGGGGGTTAAAGCCGCTGCTGCTATCACAATGAGTGTCGAGTGTTTTTAAAGCTGGAGGAAGACCGATGGCTGAGGCATGGTAGTGTTTAAGCCTGGGCCCAACGATCCTGGAACTGCATGGAGTAGCAGAGAGCTGGCTCGACGCTGGCAACGGGCTGCAGATTGGTGGTCCAGAAGAAGGTGCCAGCCGTGGTGCGGGCGAAGCGAACGGGGACATAGACATCCTCCTCCTCCTCCTCGACGGAGTCTTGCTCGAACTCCTGAGAGTGGGCCAGTTGGACCAGCTTCTCGTTGGCGGCGTTCTCATCGATCTCGGCGTAGTATGCCTCCTCGACCTGGGCGTTGCGGAGATTGTCAACTGATTCCAGAGACTCCAGCGAGCCCTGAGGCTGCTGGCGCTGCTGCTTCTGTTGCTTCTTGAAGAGTGTGCGCAGGACCTGCTTGATGCTGTAGCTGGTCTTCATCTTGTTGTTGGTGGTGGCCACGACGACGACTTGTTGGCACATTTTTGGTAATATTTTTTTGAGTTGAGCTGCGTAGAGCTAAAGTGCGTGTGT